TTTTCGTGCTCGTCCCCCATGGGGTTGGTCTACCGGTCGNCCAGGGGGTGTCGGGGCCCGCGGAGGAATGGCTGCTGGGCTGGAAGGATCGTTGGAGAAGACACCGCGAAAGGGATTGTTCACGGCCTGTTCCTCACGGTCCTCTTCGCGCGACCCTGGGGGTGGCACACGGTAGTCGCCGGTATAGGCGTACTCGCAGAAGGCGACGAAAGTTTCGACATCATACTCTTCCAGAACAGCGATATGGTGCTTCGACTCGCGGGTCTCCCCACTGTTCATGAGATGGTCGAGTGGCTGGGAGACATGACGGGCGAGGCCGGACTGGATGGTAAGCTTGGTGTGGTTGGGGCCGACCAGAAAAGTAAATGGCGGTGAATGGACGATGCTGTATCCATCCAGAGCGTGGTCAGTGGCAGCACTGTGGTGGTTGGCATGAAGCAGAGATAGGAAAGAAAATATTCAATCGCAGAGCCGGACAAAACGGAGTGAGTCATTCGAGAGAAATCGCAATGGCTAGAATTCCAATTCTGGTCACGATTGAAGGTCTGCACTCACCTACTAAAGTCCCGATCAGACTCCATTGGCGAAATCTGTTGCATTCCTTGCGACTACAACGAGAATTGACTGGAAAGCAGAAAAAAGCGCCGACAGGCAGACGGACTCAGATTGTGATTAATATATGCGATCCTCCAATACTCCTGACTGTCCGCGCCGAGCTCTCCACTCATACATGCGCCCTGAAATTTTTCCCCTCCGGGTGTCTAGTCCCTACGCCAAAGCAGCTATAGGCGCAGGAGCCGACCAACTGGGTCAAGGCAGTCTGCTACGTGTGCATCGCTAACGGGTTTCGGAGTGGGTTGACCGCCAGCTTCTGCGATGCCAGCCAACGGCCCGTTCAGTTCGTCTTATCGCGACCACCAGGTGATGCATGGGCGTCGCTAGCCAGAGATCAGCGTAGTCGGACTGGCTGAACCTTATAGCGATATTCCCTATCCCTGGGTGTAGCATATGTATCCTGCACGCGCTGCAGTAGAGGGGAGTCGATAGATTGGTGATGGGAAAATGCCCGTTGATCCTCGTGCCCAACCAGACGCTCGCCCTCAATACTACAACATCTCACACGAGACAGATTCTGCTCTTCAGCGGCAATGAAACCAACCATAGGAGTCACGGGATGGCTGGGATGGTTCGCATTCCCCACTAACGAGGCCAATCCTTGCCCATGTGCGGGCATGGGTGTTGTACAGCTGGTTCCAGTCATGTTGTTGCCCGATGGGAAGCCTTGTTCCTCCCAGCCTCTTAGGGACCCAACGGCGGTCAGCTCATTGGCGTAGAACTTCAATTTCGGTAGTGGGGGTGGTTGGAGTGCATGGTCAAGTGACTATTTTTGTCTTTTCTTATTAATTGAAAGGTCTCCATAAGTCTGTAGTTGGCAGGTTCAATTAATTATCCATGTGTGTTGTGATCTAGATATTGTTAAACTGAAGTTCTTAAGACGCTGGATGTGCGGATGCGTGCCCTAATTCGCAAAACCGCAAACTTCCGATACTTTACAGCATCAAAATATATCTGGTTTCAAGTCATTCAATTAATGAAGGAATACTCCGTATGGAAATAACTCTATAAAAAGGTCACAACTGTGGACCCTTGCGGAAATTTATCCACCACGAACTAGATCAGTACAATCAGTAGTAAACTAGTCCCTTGCTGAAGTGACAGCTAGACTCCACTGACAGCACGTCGACCACGAGAGGAACTATATTATAGCTGCTTAACAACTCACAGCATATGACTGACCACGATGATGTCCAATTATCATTATATTAATAATCTACAGCATTACAGCAATATTTTTTCCCCTCCCATTGATGGTAGTTTAGTAACTCATAGTAAAAGTAAAAGATAGTAGTTGTTCAAGAGTGGAAAAAGTCCAATTGTTTCCTCATTCTATTGTCAAACCTCTATAAGATCATAAAGATATGAGTGGTATCTCTATATATATAACCAATATCATACAATCTATCCCTATCCCAAAGACCATGATTCAATCAATGAACCAACCTAATCTCCCTATTCCCCGGCTCCCACTCCCTCAACCCCTCCCCAACACTATACCAAAACCTCAACCTGACACACTCCCTCCTCGNCAACTCAATATCTCCTTTATCAAACGCCTCCCCAAGAACCCTCACACACTCCTCCACCCTCCCCTGATTCTCCACCTTCAACTCATTAATTTTCTCCTCCGCAGCCGCAGCATCCTCCCCAGAATCCGTCACCTCCTCAATCGTCTCCTGCACCTCCATCACCTCCATCAACGTCTCCGCATCCAACGCATGCTTCGACGCCCCGTCCTCCGCCGTGACATCTATACCGTGCATCTCACGCAGGAGATACTGCGCCCGCTGCAGCGGGTCCAGCAGAGTGCGGTATGCCTCGTTGATGCGCGCGGATAATGCCTCCGCTTGCTGCTTCTGTGGGCCCTGCGGGTATTTGTCAGGGTGGATGAGGGATTGCCAGCGGAGGAACTCGCGGCGGAGGTCGGCCGTCGGGATGTTGAAGGGTGAGGACGGGGGCGGGCCAGCGGGCAGGGTTTGTTTGAAGATCGTGTAGTGGTTTGTTATGTCTGGGGTTGTTTGGGTGTCGTTGGGAGGTGTTGTAGTAGTTGTGGAGGCGAGGCGGAAGGTATTGATTGTTGTTGTTGTTGGTGGTGATGATGGCGATGATAGTAGAGATGAAGGATGCTGCTGCTGTAGGGAGGATGTGCGGGGGGATGCGCGGGCTTGAAGGACGCCTGTGCGGGCAAACCGCGATGCAAGACGGCTGTTTCGTAGCATTGTGTGCTTTACACAGGTAGCTGCGAGGTGTACGGGTTTCGTTGAATTTGGTAGTTGTTGGAAAGAAGATGCTCGGACTCGGAGATGACGGTTGTGATGGATTGTCGGATTTGCCTCGGATTTGCCTGGGCGGTGTGATGTAATTTCCGGCAGAATGGAGTGGCGGTTGTAGATAGGTCATGTGACTATGATGTATGTGATTCACCGCTTTCTATTTGAGATTAGGAGACGACTAGGTATCGTAAAGCTAGGCTGGATGACGAACAGCCTAGTGAAGAAGAAATAGTGATGATAGGAAGTATATTCCCTGTATGTCTGAGGTTGTGAATCGTATACTAGTCGACAGTGCAGAGTGACTTCATCTTCACCGTTGTACCCGCTTACGAAGGACTCCGCAAAGTGCAATTCATGGGCAGTCATTATCACTTGATTCTTCTATAGTACATGTACATCATTCAATCCCCCAGAGCTTCACCGTTCGGTCATGTCCGCAGCTGGCAATCCACTGCGCATCGGCGCTGATGTCTGTGCTGAGGACATTGCCCGCATGTCCACTCAACGTCTTCACCAACGACCAGTCATCTGCGCTAAAGATATTCACGTTCTTGTCGAAGCCACTGCTCACGAAGAAGGTGCCCGACTTCTTCGGCTGCACAGGCGCAGGAGCTTCATCCGTTGGCGTGGCCCCGTCAACATCCATGCGGCCCTCCGCAGAGGGAAGAAATGAGTCCGACTCCGCGCCCTTATACCAACGGAGATCAGACACCACGCTCTTATGCGCTCCAATGCCACCGCTATTCCGAACTTGACGCAAGTCCCAGCACTTGACCCAACCATCGCCCGAACCGGACAACACTCGATAGCCATCCACGCCCCAATCCATACCGAAGATTTCCCGAATATGCCCCTCCAGAATCATGACCGTGCGGCCCGTCCGGAGATCCCAAATTCGTCCGATACTGTCCAATCCGCCACTCGCCAGGAGCGAGCCGTCGTTGTTGAATGCGACTGTGTAGACCTCACGGGAATGACCTTCTTGCAACAAGAGCTCGGCCGTAGTTTCCACGTCCCACAGCCGCCAGGTGGTATCGTAAGAAGCGGAGGCAACATATCGACCCGATGGGTGGAACTCGGTCCGGCAGACACGGCCGCTGTGGCCAGACAGCGTCGCCAAGGGCTGGTCCTTGTCTAGAGACCACAAACGAACATTTCCTTCACCTCCTCCCGACACTAGATTCACCGTCGACTCCGAAACATTCGATGTAGGCAACGTAGCTCCGGGGAACCATGAAAGCCCACCGACTCGATCATTATGTGCCTGGAGTGACAGCTTCTCTTCAAGGTTGGGCACTGTAAGCAAGCGGATGCCACCGCCCCAGTTACCGGTCGCGATAGTTTGCCCGTCGGGGGAGAACCGACAGATACTGACAGGGCGGTCGCCCGCAATCTGGGACCCGTACAGATCGAAGTTATGTAGCTTTTGCTTGATCGCCTTTCGATGCTTGATATGCGTCCGTAGAGGTATTGTCGATTCCTCTCTCAGTCGGGCCACGCGCGCCTTTGCGCGAGGTAGCGAGAAACGCGCAATGTCCTTCCGGGCTTGCAAGAGCTCATTGGTGCCCTCCGTATAGAATTCCTCCTGCTGCTCTGCCTCCTCTTCAGCTTCGTCCCCTTCGCCCATAGCCTCCATCATCTCAACATCGCCCTCTGCCGCCGCCGCTTCTTGTCGTTCTGCCAGATCGGTCAACAATTCCCGCAGTCGGTCTCTCCGGTCTGCAGGGCCTTCTCCAAACAGTGTAATCGGTTCACCCAGTTCGCGTAGTCGTGCGCGCACCCGGCCATCATCCGTCGGAACCGCCATGGCTGCGGCTCTTCGCTTCCTTTCAAACTGTGACAAGATGGCTGACGCTCTTTCGGGCGGAATGCCCGCCGCGGCGGAGGGGAGGTCATAATTGCGGTCGACGGCTAAACAGATTGAAAATAAGCAACTGATACGGTATATATGACATAGCGACGTAGGATCTCGGTAGAGGCGCAATACTTACGGATGTTCGCCAAGTCAATGCCCATGTCCGTGTCCTGGAACCGACGTCAGAATATGCATTGTCAACAGAGGATTCNCCCGGCGCTTTTCTATCCAAGCACCATGAGAAAACAGATGAAGGAAAAAAACAATCGCTCACCTCAGCTTCCTCCACGTACGCCTGTCTCGACGGGTGCATCATGATGGGCGCAGAGAGTGGGGGGTGCGCAGATACTCCGACAGTTTAGATCCGACAAGAACGGTCACAGATGATTTGTTTGAGTGGGATCGGATATTGACACGGTTATCCAAAAGATATCCGTCCAGCGCACAAGTCAGAAGAGAAGCTGGGACAGTAGGAGGATTGGTGTTGGAATGGAAGATGAAGGAGTGAAAGACAAGCGGAGGCCGAAAAGCAGCAAAACGGCGGCACTTTTGCTTTCCTTCTGGATTTCTTCTGGCAGCCCGAAAAAGGCGGCATCCACCTTTCGATCGCACCACCCTCGCCTCTCGTGGCTGTCTATCCTCTCTTTGCTCTGTTCTGGCTGTTTGCCTTGCACGGTGACACTAGCACGCACGATGACGACCACGCCTTTAACTTCTACTACCCAACCCAGCGGTGTGCTGATTCGGTGAGTTTTAAGTCCGTGGTTGTACTCTGAGCTGCTCCGCGCCCGGAATATCTACGACTCTTCTAATTCTCCCATATGCCATTCGGCATCCCCTCTACCTTCCTACGTCAATTCCTCCTTCCTTTCTCTAATCAGAAAAGCAACCGGCAACTAATCACCGATCAGCTTAGACAATTCCCCGATCTGCTTATCCGAGAATCCTCGCCCTCCTCGATGCTCGCGGAGGCGGTCGATGACGCCAGGCGGTCGGGAGTCCCGTTCGGCCCAGCAACCTGAAATTTCCAGCCTGGATCGCTTCGTCTCTCTCCTTCGCCTGGCCTCACATAATCCCCGAACTTTTCTGATCAGCCGGCCTTCTCTGGCCCTGTCGTGACCTCTCCACTCTTTCAATTCCTCGGCGGCTGTCTGGCTGGCCATTTCGCATGCTCCCCCGGCGTCCCTGCTTCATCCCGATCAACTTCCTGTTCCTGCTGGCACAGACAGGATTTCAAGGTGACGATCCGGTCCTTCGCTGATGATCGCACTGGCTTCTTCCGGTAGAGCCTGCAGTGCAGCCTGCAGTAGCCTACACACCGTTGTTAGGGACGGCTTCTTGGCCTCTGTCTCGGCTCCGAAATCCTCTGGTCTCCGATACCCCCTCGTCTCCTCCCTCGCCTCAACATCTCGTTCCCCGCGATTCTCCCGCCGTGCCTTTCATTCCACGTCGCCATTAGACTCGGCGACTTCGCGAATCTCATATCGAGTCGCTGCGTCCTCATCCGGCAAAGGCCGCCGGTTCCATCCGGCCAAAAACACCTACAATTTCACCCCCGACCTCCACGAAGCCATTGGGGTCGCAACAGACACAGAGAACAAGGCGCTCCGGCGAAAGAGGAGGCCTGACAGTGGTGAAGATGCGTTCTTCGTGAGCAGAGTCGGAAGTAAGGACTCTGGCGCAGTAGCCTTTGCAGTCGCCGACGGTGTGGGTGGCTGGGCCGAGTCGCGCGTCGATCCAGCAGACTTCTCGCATGCGCTATGTGGCTACATGGCTCAATCGGCCATATCCTGGGAGTCGCCCGTCGAAGAACTACGGGCGAAGAACCTTCTCCAGACTGGATACGATCAAGTCGTAGCAGATGAGACAATCCGAGCCGGAGGCAGTACCGCGTCAGTCGGCGTGGCATATCCAGACGGACGAATCGAGCTGGCCAACTTGGGCGACTCGGGCTCGGTCCTCCTTCGCCTTGCGGCGGTCCACCATTACACCGTCCCGCAAACCCACGGCTTCAATACTCCGTACCAACTCAGCATCATTCCGCCGCGCATGCGCGCTCAAGCGTCCATATTCGGCGGTGCCTTCCTCGAGGACTTCCCGCGCGATGCGGCCGTCACCAACCTCCACATGCAACACGGCGATGTCCTCATTCTAGCCACTGACGGTGTTTTCGACAACCTCAACAACCAAGATATGCTCAAGCTCGTCACGAGTCGCATGGTTCTCACGGGCGCCTGGACTGCCGACCCCGACGCTGGCATCCGTCCTTCGGAGGATCTCAAACAATTAACCAGCCCAGAGGGCTTGTCCTCTTTGCTTCCTACGCCACCATCCTCACCCTCCTCCGACCCCGAATCCCCGAAATCATCCTCCCCCAGCACGCGCCAGCAGACATACACACTCCAATCCCTCATTGCCGCCACGATCGCCGGCGAGGCCAAATTGGCCAGCATGGACATGCGTCGTGACGGACCTTTCGCCAAGGAAGCCCAACGCTACTATCCAGGCGACTGGTACCGCGGCGGGAAAGTCGACGATATCAGTGTGATCGCCGTAGTTGCCGTGGACGAGGGATACTCAGGGTGATGAGAGATCTGTGTGAGAAAGCGAGGCTTCTCAGCCTCCAGTATAATATTTTTCTTTCCCCTTTTCTTGACTTTTAATTCATAAACGACCTCCATGCACATGCCCATGCATGCACTTTCATGCTGATACCTATACCTATACCTCTTCTATACCTATACTTCTGTTTGGACTACGTCATTTATATATTTACACACAGGGGCACGCTGTTGTACCTTTCCTTTCCCATTTTTTTCCCCCTTCAACTCATTAGGTATCTCTTTTCTTTTCCTCATTGGTATTGGATAGGGTTATTTATATTGGTAAAATCAGGTAGAGACGGCAAGCAACATATAGAATATTTCTGATAGACTTGACAAACTTGATACTTCCATCTGAACTATGTAACTACATGGAAAAAGATAAAAGAATTTACCATGAACTTAAATCATTAAATGCAGTGGCTTCCTTAATTGAACATCAAATAGAGAACTACGGATATAGGCTATCCTGTCTTTGAATAGTACAGTAGCTACAACTTGTGTCCCACTTACTTGACCTATTCTCGAATCGCACCGCAACATACTAAATAGTACTAGACACTTCACTACGAACGAAAGATAGTAAAAGCTCGGAGATATGAATCCTCAGATACTAGATAAATAAATCGAGAAAACAACAACTCCTCAATCCGCATCCACCACATAACTACTAGTCAGCAGGATAGCACAAGCGGGTAAATTAAAGAGAAAATGGACAATAACAGGAACAGGAAGGAGCATAATAAGCATGAGTATACAATTTCGATCATCCTTCGCGAGCTGACAGGGAAAAAAAAGCAACAACAACAGTACCTGGTAATTAAGCATCGAGAAATAAATTGATAGATGATATAACCCCCCTTTTCAAGATCGAGGAAAATAGAGTGGGGATGTTTTGGGTTAGGGTGGGGTTATAAGGGTTGAGGTAAGGTGAGGTGATTCGAAAGGACAGAGTCTTCTTGCTCGTCAATTCCTACTCCTTGGAATCGGGCATACTGGGTATGCTTCTTGGAATGGGGGTGGTGGCCATTTTGAGGAGGGTAAGGAGAATTGGGGTCATCTGGCGTACTTGGTTCTTTTTTCACTTCCATCTGATATAAAGAACATCTCTTTGTCCAATTCCACTATCAAGAAGATGGACATGGATGGATGTACAGATGGTAGTAGTGGTAAAGGAAGCAATGGTGAGCTTTCCATGATAAAAAGGTAAGGTGTTCAACGACGCTTGCATGTATTTGACATTTTCCAGCTTCGTGAATTGATTCCAAGAGTAAAGAAGAAAAGGAGGATTTGGTTGGATTGGATAGTAAGAAAAAGAAGAAACAAGACGACGCAGAGAGGAGTCACAACACAGGCCTATAAACTTGAAGGCAAGTAAACAAAACGCCACAATCAATGTGGGTGGTAACAACGGCAAGCAACTTCCATCAGCATCACCTTTATGCTGCCGTTTCCACTGGCTTCTCTTCTGTCTTCTCAGCATCAGCCTTTTCCTCCGTTGCCTTGTCCTCGGTTGGCTTCTCCTCCGCTGTCTTCTCTGTCGTAGCCTCTTCGGTCTTGGGAGCTTCCTTCTCAGTCTCCTCCGTAGCCGGCTCAGGGGCTTGTGGCTTCTCTGCTGCATCAGCATCAGGCATGGGCTCATCCTGCGGCTCCGCAGTGTCAGCCTTGCTCTCCTTGGTATCGTCCTCCTTCTCGTTCTCGGTGTCACCCTTAGCGGGCGTCTCGACGCTGCTCTCCTTGTGGACACCGTTGGCCTTGGGCTTGTCCTCCTTCTCCTTGTCATCCGAGGGTCCGGTGGCATCCGCATCCAGCAGGTTCTTCCACTTGGACAGAATGCTCATCGCACGTGCCCGGAATTGGAATTCCTCATCGCGAGGGATGGAGCTGAGCTTGACGATCATCTTCAAGACCTTGTTGATCTTCGTGGCACGGATAATTGAGACTTCAAGATCCGTGTGCTTTTCAAGTTTGCCGAAGAAGTTGTCCATGTGATTCATTTCTTCCTCCTTGGGGGGTTGGTCGCGAGAGATGAATCCCTTTTGGAGCTTGTGACGTATGAAGAGAACTGTTCATTGTTAGCACATCAACACGTTCGTAGGCATAAGCCATCAAGTTGGGTTCACACATACTCTCTTTCTCCTTCTTGTCCTTGGCTTCCTCCTGAGTCATCTTCTTCTCGGGCTCCTTGGATTCGGCGCGAGACTCCTCTCCATCGTCACTAGCAGCAGCCTTAGCGGCCTTCTTGCTGCTTGCGGTCTGCTTGCCCTTGGAAGCAGGGGCCTTCTTTCCAGATTCACTGGCCGGAGTCTTGGGGGTAGTCAACTTCAATTTCGTGGTGGTTTTGGGAGTCTTCGCAGGCTAGACGGGAAAAAAGTCAGCTCCAAAATCTCACCCGGGTTCAGCAAGATGGCTCTCTCCTACCTTCTCATCGCTCTGGGCCTCAGAGTCGTTGTCCTTCTTGCGCTTCTTGGTGCTCTTGGACTTCTTCGTGTCCTCATCGGCATCGTCCATGTCGACATCGTCATCGACTACCTCCATGCTCTTGCGCTTGTTTTTCTTGGCCTCCCTCTCTGCCTTGGCGGCGGCCTTGGCAGCTGCCTGGGCCTCCCTCTCTTCGATCTCCTGCTCCAGAGCACGCTGGTGATCTGCCAGCAGGTCCTTGAAGTGCTGAAGGTCATGGCCCTCAGCACCCACAGCATACGCAGCCAAGAGGGTTTTCGACTTGCCCTTCTCCGACACCTCCTTGCAGCCAGCAGCATCGATAGGGGTCAGATCGGTATTGGGGATCCACGCGCTATGCTCTTCGTTAGCCAACAGGATGTCGCAAGCTTCTTTCGAGCTCAATGTAATGCTACTCACAATTCATTCGTCTCAAAGAACATAACGGGGAAGGTCCGCTCGTGAGCGCGTTTGCCACCATCGGCGTAGTCCTCCCTGTAGGTTCCGTCGGGGCGCTGAGCCGTCACGGGACGCGTGTTCAATAGAGTCTGAGGAAGCATTTCCTCGTCGCAGATGATGGAGGGCCATGGGGGGAAACTTCTGAGACGCGCCAGGTAGTACTCGCCGGGCTGTGCGTTCAAATGTGTAGTACGAATCTGGGACTTCTTTCTGCTCAGCTTAGACTTGTGCTCGGGGACGGTGCCAGTCGATTTCCGCTTCGCGGCGCCGGACTTCTTAGCGGATGCGGGTGTTCCGTTGGCCTCCGATGCTGGTGCGGCTTCGGGCTCTGCAGGCGCGGCCGCACTCTCCTCGGGCTTCTTCGCGTCGGCAGACTCAGCGGGTGCGCTCGATTCCTCAGCCTCTGCTGAGGCGGGCTCTTTCTTCTCCTCTTCAGTGGCAGTTTCGGTCGCTGGTAAGCACGGGGCAGAGAGATTAGCGAGCGCCACTAGGCATGGCTCACACCCTGGTAGACATGGCCGCGACGAGAGGATAGGTAGTGGTGTTGGGGGGTAGCTTACCAGATGGCTTGTCCTCAGGACCATTGGTCTGCTGCTCTTCCTTCTCCTTGGAAGGCTCTTGCGCAGACTCAGCAGCAGCGGGCTGAGCATCAGCGGGAGCGCGTTCGACGGACGGCTCACCAGCGTCGGGGGCGGGCGCCGAGGCAGCAGGGGTATCCTCGGCCATGATGCGCAATCGGAAGTCGGAAATTAATCAGGAGGGGGGAGGGAATGGAAGGAGGATGCGAAGGAGAAGAGGATAAGCGAAGCCTTCTGATGAGATCAAGGTTGGGTGGGGGGAAGGTTCAAGGGGATGGGTAATGCGGTGGAAGGAGGAGGAGGAGAGTGAGAGAGAGAGTTGAGAGCGAGCGAGCGAGAGGTGGTGGTGGAGAAGGTCGCGACGCCGGGAGGCGGGAAGTCGACAACGCGTAGCACTTCTTGGGGTGGGAAAGCAAAGCGGCGCTGCGCCCAGTCCGTAAATGACGCAAACGCTTCAACGACAAAGAGACAAATTGATAACAGTCAACCACCACGACTGGTCTCAACAAGTAACACTGGCTTCCTGGAGCTGTCCCCAAAAACCCTTGTATTAGCGACTGGGCAGGAGGGGGATCCTATCACGGCAGACCGCTGTGTCGTGTCTCGGAGCGCTTGTGGCAACTGTAAGACAGAGCTTCCAATAGGGGGGTTGTTGCTGAGAATCGTGGCGTTTCTCCCAAACGTAGAATCGATGGATGAACCTGACCCGGTCCCGTCAATAACACTGCGATGCAGGGACGCCTGTGGTGCTGGATTGATGATGAGGGTGATGCTGCCAATGGACCGTGACGCGAAAACTCCCCGGCGATTGACGATCCTCCAACAGCCGGAAACGCGAAGTCGCTGGTGCTGCTGCTCAACAACGAAACCGAGCTTTTCAAAAGCAGGAAAGAAACGGCCAAGGGGCTATTCAGAAGCTGGCGACAGTAGAATCGTAGTGATGGACACCCACGAATGGTCGCAAGTTTACTCGTCCGGTTGGATCACCGAGACAGCGAGTATCACGGACAATTCAAGGCACGTATGAGACCTTGATTGGAGTTGACAAGTACTTCTCGTTGAGACACAACCTGTTCCAAGGCTTTAGTATCTTCTTTGCCAAAGATATACGAATCGCAAACTCACCTGGAGCTAGCAGTCCAGTCGCGCACCGCCGAATCCGATCAACTAGTTGAAGATGTTTGAGGAACACCAGAAAGCCCGCGGTCGCAAGGATCTGCAAGGTTCGGACCAGGAGGTGAAAGCAGGTGAGCAAGCAAGTATGCCGGAACCAAATCTCACCCGGAATCGATACTGGGACTTGGAGAGGGTAGAGTCGATGGGTGAAGAGTAAGTAGGGGTGATGATGAGAAAGCGTCTCTAGTTGTTTGGTCGGGGAACAAGGCAACAAGAGGGAAAGACGGATGGTGACGCCAGGAGAAGAGTTCCCTCGCTGGCTGCCAAACCAGCCATCCTAAATCTATCCCCAGTACAACACTCAACCCCCTTTTCCCCCACTTCCGCATCGATTCTACAAGGCCTATTCGGAGATTCTTGCTCGTTCTATTGACTCCGTGCGATAAATGGGCGGGACAATGAGCCTAGCAAGTTGTTCCCCATCTACAACACCAGCCCGGCATGGTCGAGTCAGTACCACCCAAGTAACACTGACAATTGATACCTAGTTTATCCCCTCATCGTGTGCTACAAGCAGAATTTTAAATGGCTCCCCCATCTTCTTCCTTCCCAGCCACCTGGAGTATCTTCGTGTTATTCTTTTCTGGCGTTCATGCATCCTATTCACCCCCGCTTTCCGGCTTCATTCGTCTCTAGTTCTGATTCATAGCAATCAGCCCGGCTTGAGCACGATGCTGGACTTACGCCAAGGGAAGAGAGTCCTCCAGAACCATTCATCAGGTTGAGTAGAGATAAATTAAATGCATTGTCTTTGACCAAAGCAGGTCGCCATATACACGGTAGGGGTTCGGAGCATATGGATGATCGAGGGAAAGTAGGCACGAAACAGTAAGGATAGTACGGCCCCAACGACCGACCGGCGGTGCCATCAATGTAATTAATACAGATCAGAGTCATGACAGGTTCATAAACGAGGTGAGAAGGCAATTCCACAAGGGTATCATGCAAGTCCACGGTATATATGTAGGAAGACGAGCTACTCTTTTAAGGCGCGCAAACTCGCTCACCAAGGAAGGGAAGTATGTTCAGGCGATCCCTCATCATCAATCCAGCCATCAATCCCTTCCAGCTCATCCATCGCGGTCGGCACTGGCTTATGGATACGAAGGGCCCAAAGGAAGTAATCTTCCAGGGGAAGCAAGTTCAGCAGGATGCCGTTGAATTTCCACCCAAGAGCACACACCGTGGCACCGGCCACAGCGTCCAGAATGAAATGGTTCGCAGTCGCAACAATGGCGGCCAGGATGACAAATGGATAGGCGAAGCCCATGGCCAGGCAGACGAGTCGGCGCCATGACGGAACCTGCAGCCCGACAGAGCCAATCGTTATGCGCGAGCGCCGACGATGATGTGGCGGCAGCGGTATGGTCATGATCGTGAGACCAATCATCAGAGAGTAGCCGAAATGCAAGGAGGGCATGGCGGCTGTGGTAGTTCTTGGTCAGCGGTCTCCTTTCCTAAGTTGTTCTCGGAACGAATACTCACCGTATTGATTGCAGAAGCGGTTTTCAGTCCAAACGCTGCCTGCACCGTTGACGCCATGCACCGTATCCACAAAGCCATAGCTACGACCCCGAGCTGCATCAGGACCCTGCGCGTCCTTGTCGCTCAACAATCGAGGTGGCATGCAGGGCCACAAAGTAAATACCACGAACGCAAGCAGATTGCACACGGCAAGTGTTCGACGACGAGCTTGATAGAGGCGCGGGCCTGCGGGCGAGCCACTCATGAATCCACGAGGCTTACCAGGCTGCGACTCATCGTAACGGTTTCTAGTGGTCGTGTAGTAGTAGAGCCAGACTAGGAAGGCAATGGTGCCTGGGATATGAATGAAGGAGTAAATCCAATTTGTCCACATCATGAGTGTCGTGTGCCGGAGGAAGAACCGCTGGATAGGAACCTCCAAGAACAACCCCAGCGCCTCTTCAACCTGTATCAGCTGTAGCGCATGCTTCCTCGCCACATCGACAGTGCCTTCTTGCAGCGTGACGGCAGTAAATGCTCGGCCTAATTGGTATGTCTATGTCATAGAGTTAGCGGTTGGCACATAGAAGCCTGAAGAACAAGTAGTTGTTGTTGTGGGCTCGAATAGAGCAAGTGTAGGAAATACGAGGTTCGAAAGTCATACCCAGTACACTAGCGCCCAGTACCAGCATTCAACTAAGAAAGGGAACTTCCGTAAGAGACGACTAAGCAGGCGATCTTGGAAGACAATGGTGTTGGGAGAGGTGACCTCGAAGGTCGACGAAAAGAAGCCCAGCTGCCTCTTGCGCCACCGACTCTGGCCATCTTGTAGGAGTGCCGATGAAGATGAGGACAATCGACGAGACAAGAGCCCGTCCTTTGCGGTTGGTGTGGACAGTCCGGAATCTGTCGCATCAGGAGAGGCGCCACGTGAAGGGATGCTGGATCTGCGGCGGGTTCTGCGTGTAGGGAAAGATCCTGTTGTTCGGTTGATCCAGGTACCTCCAAAGAGAAGGACGATGACCGTCAGAGGCTCAAGGAACGCTCCTACTCCCATGATGGTGACCTCCTCAGGGTGGAAAATAAATGCGTTATACCGGGGGAGGAGGGAGTAGTCGACTGTATGGAAAGGAAAAGAGAACCAAGGGCGAGGATTAATACTAATGAAGTACAAAAAGGCCAAGCAGCTCCAAGATTCCAAGATGGAATGCTGCGGGGCAAGCTAGAAAGAGTGAAGCACGGAGAGACAAGGCTTGGAGAACCGCGAGAGCATCGTCAGGTTAGCGAAGCCAACCAGACAACAAACCGGTAGGAAGGAAGGGCGGGCTGAATTATCCCGCCTAATAGCTTGAATTAGTAGCGTGAAGTATTCGTCTGAGATGGGCAGCAGTGGGGGGCGGCACTTATGTACCTTACGCAGTGCAACCTAGTAGCAGATGGTACTAGTAGGAACTTGCTTGCGTCTTTTGGGGGGGTGTGGGTTTAGTAGATAATCATTAGTTGATTAGTTGATTTAGTTGATTAGTATGATTTGTTAGTTAGGTAGGTAGGCAGGCAGGTAGGTAGGTAGGTCCTGGTAAGTAAGTAGGTACAGGAGAAAAGAAGAGGGTCTCAGCCCAGCCTGACCAGCTTGGCTGTAGAAATAGTCCAGTACCAAAAAAGCAGCAGACATGTAACCAGTCCGAACCACCGAACCAGAGTGGGCAGCAAAATAATCCCACCAAAGTGGGTTTCACCGGTTCTTGGGTGTCTGACTTGGATGATTTGCCAAATTTAGGCCCCCGTTAGCATCGCATTTCCATGTCGTGATAATTAACACATGCTGGCGACTAAGCCAGCAAACCAAGGAACCACCCGTCCTGCCCAGAGAGAACGCCATCATCGGAGCTTCCGGATGCCGAACAAAACAAAGCCACCCGTGGGGGGAAGAAGAGACAGAGACAGAGACTCAAGGGGACGGAGGGAGGGTCAAACATCCGCGTTCCAGCAATCATTCCAATTAATCTGACCTCCTATTTTGGACCTAGTAGATGCTCCTTCCACCCTGCTAGGATGTCTATTAGTAACGTAACTTATTGGGGGAATGCGTGAAGTCGCAAAGAAATTGCTTTGTCGGGGTCACCCAATTAGGCCCATTAAGGTTTGTCAAAGGTCGAGGAAGATCCATGAACATGGGTCCCTGCTCCCACTGGCGGTGACAACGAAAAAAAGTTGACCTACTACGTATTACTAGTATTTTATGGATGGTAAGGATTATTACCAGATTCGATCAGTCCGTTTCTCAGCCACTGCAGGCATTCTGCCCGTCGCGACCAGATGATCCTCGTCACATCTAGTATTGTTACCAAGCTTGTGTTGCCAGTCAGACCAGCTGGAGTCATTCTCATTGGTTGGATTAGAGGTGTAAGCCGCATCCACTTCCCATTTCGGTAATTAACTGCCTACATCATTGCTCGCAAGCTAGTAAGTTTACGGAAAGACGTCACATGAGTCAGCGGAATGTTGGCCAGGATGGGCAAGAAAGCACGCTGCTCGAAACACGGCACGAAGAAAGTCTGCCGATATATAGAAGCAGAAGGAGATGAAAATACTGAAGTATCAATTGTTTTCAATTTATGTTGCCTATCTACGCAATTACTTAGGTATCATTGAATATATGAAGAACATCTATTCCCTTCCGGAGCCAAGGGCCTTTCCTCGATCGCGAATACGATGTAAGATACGACGTAAATACTGGCCCTACAGGGTCGAGGCTTTCCAGCCTTGTTCTCAGCGAGTCCACTTTCTGCTTGGCGATCCCAGTGAGCGGAATCTAGACTGGATATTGATTAAGTACTTCGTCTTCTGGTCCTGCTTTCTTTGTGGAAACCCCCCTGTTCTCCCCTTGGTTCCACGGTAATTGTCCTTGCTTTCTTCTCTTCCATGACCCTTGTCGGGTGGAAAGCCGAAACGCCTCCAGGATGTGCGATGACATCGTGACAGTCTCCCCCTGTATGTTTATCAAGCGCCTCAATTATCCGATCGGCATTCGTATCTCTCCTAGAAACCCAAGGTTCCGAAGCCACTCCCGTATCATCACTACTCAATTCAGGCTGTACAAAATCATCATGGCAGGTTCCCGGTCCTAGTGTTAGCTCAATCACAGAGCTGGCGCATGATTTGCAACCCTTCCCGTCCCAACCACGGGATCATTTCCAAGGTAGGAGAAGTCCAGATGCATAAACTCGCATAAATCACATTATTATTAGTACTATGTAGTAGCGCCTAGCAACCAGGGACTTCGTATAGCTTCCGAGAGCTCCGCAGCGGTCGACAAACATCCGTTTCCGTGGTGCTAGTCTGTTCTCGTCCCATCCGCTTTAGTTGATCATTTGCCTTCATGATCATCAATCCACCCTGTGAGTTGAAGCGGGGTTACCACGTTCCGTGCACCGAAGTTGTCACTATTCTTAGTGATCCCACACTCAGTCCTGCGAGGCGGCTGGTGCGATCGTCCGTATACTTCATAAAGGGTGCAGAGTATTGTAGGCAATCACTTTTTGTTTCCTATTTAAACATCTAGTAATGTGCACGTGCTCCAATGAGCTGTCTTTTAAAGTGCTTGTAGGCAGACAGATAAGGAACCTACATGCAGTATATTGAGGCTGTGTGACGGTAGCCTTTTTGTTGACCCAACTAAAGTTTCAACTAATACTTGACCAACCATCTAATTTCGTGTCTTGATGAGAAGCAACATGCAATTTTACTAAACTATAAGGGGATGAATATTATTATTTTTGTTATCAATCATCCTTCTCGGCGATCGGACGACTTCCGCTCCGTGCCAAGTGCCGACCCAAACCCCGCGTGCCTCCGAAGCTCCGTCGCCAATACTTTCCCTTCAAATGCTGCCCTGGAGAACTCTGCTGGGAGGGTCCTGTATCCATGGGTTCTAAATCACCGTTGCTGTATCGGTGTCTAGTCTAGGTGCTAGGAAGCTTGACTCGAATACTAATCATCTACCTCGGCTCGGGAAGATCGTTGGATCATCCAACCAAAGCACCAACGTTTGTCTGTGTGCTCGTCTTTTCAAATGTGCCTAACAAGTACCTTATATCAATGGTTGTCAGCAACAAGGGATTCTTCCTGCGATTGACCTGATTCCTTGAGCAGTAACAATTCACTAACTGGATAGCTAATCAATGTGCGGACTCTCCAGATATCTAAAATGACGTCATTCGACGCGGGCTTTTGCCATCCTGATTTCATCGCCATTTACATTCATCCCAGAAAGTACCAATGAGTTTTGCCCTTCAAGGCCAGTGAACACATAATGCTACTCAGGGGTACACAATAGTCCCGCAATAATTGAGAAGCAGGTTCTTATCGCTTATTGATCGATACATCCTCCCAACAGTCAACCGACAGGGACCAATGGCTGTCACTGTCAACTCCACGTCTCAGCGATGAGCTATCCTTTACGTCAGTCTTCTGAGACTCCTGACATGACCGGATCTCGGTTGTCAAAGATGCACACATAGCTATATCTAAGGAATGGAAGCTTCTGATGTGCTCGGTCATCCAATATCAGTCTTAATGGAAAACCATACATAGTGTCCTAATTACTCTGCTTGATACACTTATTGAGAGCATAAAACTAGTCTACATAATGTTTTCAACACTATCCCGAGTGGCCCCGGCCCCGTCGAGGAGCATCCTCCAGCATGCATCGCCGCAGATTCCCAAGGTTGCCACATTGACGGGAGCTTCGCGAGCGCTTTCTTCCACTCCTCCTAGTCAGAAAGAGGTCACATTGCTCCAAGACAAGAAGAATGGATTCGGATTCGCGCGGTCGAATCCTCGACCTCCGAAGCCACGAACGAAGGGGGTCACCGAAATCAGAGGCCCATACTATACTGTATGCGATGTCACCCCATGCAGCCTGACGAGAGTGCTCGCTCTAAAGCAGGGAACTGATCCGTATTCGTAGGTGATGGGTAAAAGATACTTGGCGGACGTGCTTGAGACGTGAGCAATGCCCACCACTCCTGCCACAGGACTGGGTTCTGACCAATGTTCAACAGGATGGGGACACATGTCGACGGCTTGAAGTTTGCAGGAGGTAAAACTACCGCCGGTCTGGCGAGACAAGTAGAGGCGAATGCTGAACAAAGTTGCAGGATCGTTCTCTCTCTTCCCGGAGAAACCCTTACGGGAACTGACTGACCTTGCTCATGACTACGGTGTCTATGTCTCGACTGTAAGACTCTTCCTCGCCAGAGTTCGAGTCTAAGCTTGCTAATGGTGGCTTCTGTATAGGGTGGATGGGCTGAACATCTACTCACTCACCCGGACGCAAATGCCGTCTTTGACAAATATCTCCGCAAGTGCAAGGACTTGGGGTACGGCTATTTCTATGACCGTGCCTGCTTGGAAACCAGCTCATCTGACTAATTTCTCTCCTACAGATTCGATGTGATTGAGCTTTCGTCCGGCTTCCTGTCCTTCCCCGAAGACGACTGGCTCCGACTCGTCGATAAGGTTCACTCGTACAAGCTAAAGGCGAAGCCCGAATTAGGGATCCAGTTCGGCGCTGGTGGTGACACTCCGGCGTCTGGCTTGGAGGCGATTGGCACTTCAGACCCAGCCAAGCTGGTGAACATGGGGCGCAAGTTCCTTGACGCGGGTGTCGAGCGCCTGATGATCGAATCAGAAGGGATCACCGAGAATGTGCAGTCATGGCGGACTGATGTGGTGTCCAAGATCATGAAGGAACTTCCCCCAGAGCGCGTCATGTTCGAGGCAGCAGATCCCAAGGTGTACAACTGGTACATCCGGGAGTTCGGTATTGATGTAAATCTATTTGTCGACCATAGCCAGATTGTGCAGCTGTCATGCTTGCGCCATGGAATCTGGGGCACGGCCGATACCTGGGGCAAGATTGTATCGTTCCGGCCAGAGTAAACGGACCAGCTCGGCCGTAGGAGGGAGCGATGTGAGCTGTGTGGGTCATGCCATGAATCGGAGGAAATGTACGAATGGAGTTATGAAGGCCGTAGATAGTCACTAGTTGCCAATAATGCCATCGATGGTTTCAAGTCGAAGGAAGTTGCCTGATGATCTATTATCCTTAGTCAGCGCCGGGCCCCCATTGGCGGCCCCGACTCAATCCGGGGAAAGCGGCCAAGCATCCATCATCCTTCGTTCTGGCCATCCTTCCCTGCAACTGACTCGCCATCTGCCTGTGGGCATATCTTCGCCGGTCTGGCTCTCTCGCCTGTGCTAGAGAGATGTTTAATCCAACCTTCGGCTAGTCAGCCAGGGTCTTGACACAAACCCTCATCACCGGCCAAAGCGACCCCGCCGTTTGCCCCCTGCAGGCGGTCTGCACCTCTTCCCCTCGTCAGGTACATCACTTCGCGATTGTGGCTCGAGCGGACTTGCAGGCCCAAATCAATCAGCGCTATACCATTTTTCATGCTCCATCATGCCTAAAGCTAATCCAGTCCCTGGGGGCCGACTCCGCTGCAGACGCGCCTGCGATAGTTGCAAGCGGAGGAAACAAAAATGCAACGGAGAACAGCCATGTACAATATGCATTCAACGGCGCAAAGAGTCCGAATGCCACTTCTCAGACAAACCGGCAAGATTGCTCAAACCGAATAACAGCAGCTCTAAGGACACCATGCTTCTCAGCGAACGCTTAGTCCCGACCCCACAGCGTCAGACCGCCATGGACCGACTCCTGAACTCGCTCGAAGACCGGAGCGCCAATCTGGAACAACAGGCTACAGATGACAAAGAGGGAACAGCGCCAGTGCCCAAGGTTGCCAGGCTACTGCGTGATGGTCAAGGCAAATTCATGTACGTTGGCGACTCCGCCAGCTTGTCTTTCCTACAGAGTGTGCGGAGGATCGTATCGACCTCTATCGGCAGATGCGAATTCACGGAGGACAACTCGCGACATTCGATGCTCGAGGCATTCCAGAGTGGATCTACAACGCAGACAGGACCATTGATATCGCCACCAAGCAACGAAGAGGCTCAGAGGCTGGCGCGCCAATTTGTGCTGGCCACAAGCCCGCTGCTGGATCTGTTCGACCTCAACGAGTTTCACCCCCGGCTTGCGAATTGGGTTGAGAATCCGAGGGGTGATGAGGATACTGTCAGCTCGATTTTCTATCTCGTGCTCGCCATCGGCGCGCAGGTGTCCGATATCAATCAATCCCTGGCTGAGCAGTACTTCGTCAGCGGCCGTCAGTTAGCGTTTTCTGCCTTCACGGAGACCCCGAGTATATATACCATTCAGTCGTATGTTTTGATCTCGATGTATATGTTGGGAGCCTGTCGACGGAACGGAGCTTTTATGAATTTGGGAATCGCGCTCCGTGCCGCGTATGCGGTCGGAATTCACCGGAAAGATGCAAATGCGCTTTTCTGCACCCGAGAACGGCGGGCTCGAGAACGGGTATGGAAGAGTCTTCGTATGATGGATCTGTACCTTTGTGCCTCATTAGGACGTCCTCCTGCGACACTAGACTTTGACTATGATCTGCGTGAAGAGGGAACCTCACCAGGGGAGCAACAGCGCCTTCATCCGGACGAGCAGTTGTCTATGACGGTGATCTCACTCTGCCGAATCTTCGAACGTATTCTGACCGAGGTCTACATGCGTCAAGTCGTCTCGATCAATGTTGCAGAAACTATATCGAATCAGCATCGAGCTTGGGTGCGCAATCTCCCAGTATTTCTGCAGATGCAGACTGAGCGGCTGGATTCCAAGACGCTGGAAGGCACCTTATCTGCAGCACACATCTTTGGTTCCTACTACTGGTCGATTATTCTTCTTACTCGACCATTCCTCATCTTCCGAGTGTCCCAATATGTGCGGAATAGAACCGAGGCAACAGGGTCCTCCGACAGCAGGGCCAGCAACTCCCGCATTGCGTTATTTGCCGACGCATGTGTTTATTCTGCCTTGCGCGGACTCAACATCGTGGATGACCTTTCTCGCTACAACACCCTCCCGCGCAGACTCCCATTCCTTATCAATTCCGTCTTCAACTCAGCCGTGGTGCTTGGAGCCGCTTTCTTTGCCGACTACGACAACCTGCTCCCGCTTGAAGAAGGCATGGACAAGGCGGAGAAATTCCTAGGCCTCTTCGTACCCCACGACCCACACGCATGTCGCTTCTTCCAGATCATCAAATACCTTCGAGGTGCAGTGGCGGAGTATGTCCGTCGACGAAATCGCCATTGGATGGAGCGTCGCAGCCGACAAGTCGACCAGCTCTTCGGCCAAGTCGGGCCCACCAAAGAAAACCCCATGGCTGAAACAAACACCCCGAGCAGTCATCGTGGAGAACCCACCGCTGTACCATCACCTTTATCCCCCGACAAGCTCACCGGAGCATCTGCCTCTCAGCCGCCCGACCTAGCTACAAGCACCACTACCACCACTGGCCCAACCGACAGTGACATTTGGGATACGCTCTATGGCGCACAAGGCGCCAGCACACTACCATACGACACCGCAATCTCTACCCTCACCACAACCGGAATTCCAATCGGCTGTTCCCCCGGCGGGACCATCCCTGCCGGTGGAATGCCCCCGGATGCTCCAGGGGCGCAAACCCCGCTCTCGGACGTGATTCTCCCAGACAATGGCCTGCTCTATATGGCCGAAGACCTTCCTGTATTTGGGATTTGGGAAGATGCTTGAAAGGTATCTATCCTACTTTACATTACACTTGGAAATGGGTGCAAATATGCCCCTACTTGTCACATGATCCCCAACACCCTTCCTATGGGAAGCCGACCCAACCCGATCGCGGCGCGACTCCTCATGACTCTTGACCTCCCCCAGAACCTCAACCTTCTCTCCAATCAAATTAGCTGATATCAATTAACGTGTCTAACTTGGCGTGGCGTGGAATGGCGTTGGACTCGTCAATCTCTGGGCTATGTATATACGAAGTAACTGAAACTTCCCCTTCAATAAATACCACTCACCACATCATGATACATATTTTATTCACAATGTACATACATACATATACACGTCCATCCAATTGAATACTACATATATCAATCTTTATGACAGTCTATTGCATACCTCACTAAGTGACTAGTCATTCACACAGTCTGTCTGTCTGTCTCCTCACTCTGAATATTTCACTTAGTTACTAGTACTTCCTCCACCAACCTGTAGTTACTAACTTAACTGAGCTAAGTAAGCACACTACTAGCAGTAACTAAACACTATTTATTTTCTCGGGGACCGGGGGGGTTGGCATTCACACCTCTCCCAGTTCATTCACTATACTAGTATACTAGTATACAAGCTGAACCATTCACCACTAAATCATTGATATCGTTACTATTGTGCTGGGATGAATACTAATACCATCATATGAATAGACTATTGGCAGTGGATTATTCTGTGTTCTAAACTGGTATTTTGGTTCAATGAAGATATTCAATTACATTACTTATTTAGAGTGCTCGGTGAATCATTCTTGGGGTATTCACCAGGTAGTAGTTGTTTCGTTGGTAATATATAACAAGAACTGGCTTGCTAGATTCACTTAGTTACACTCTTTGACAGGTCATTTTCACGATTGTTTATCAGGTGATCGATCCGTATGAGCCGAGTAACAAACATCTTGAACATGTTATTGTATGGTACTCAGTAAACACCAAAAAGGCAGGTCTGTTATACACCATCCAAGTAAAGCAAATGCCAAGCAACTAAAACGTATACTAGTACTAGTAATAATCCCTATTTTATCTGCTGAATCACGAGCTATATGTACCGTACATGTAATGCAAAGATCGCAAAACAAAAAAGAAAATGCACATCGGGATCGAGCAGAAAACAAACAGGGAAAGTAAAAGCGGAACGTATAACGGGGACAAGACAAATAGATCATGTTCAGGAATTAATCAGGATGAGAGGGTGGGAAGAAACGAATGCAACACCTCCGGCCGAACGCAGGAAGAAGCATGCAGCATGACCATGAGGGTCGAGTTGATAGGAAAGAAGTAGTCGGGCGGGCAAGTTCTCTCTCGACAAGAAAACCGAGAGGAAAAAGTAGGGTACAAAAGAAACCGGGAAGCAGAAGAATGGGGGTGAGTTTCTGGCTTCCCAATATTACGTATCGATGGGAATGGAAGCAGCGTCGAGGTGAGGGAGAGAAGAGAACATCAGAAAGAAAATTCTAGATCGCTGAAGCTGCGTCATGTAAACAAGACTCGAGACATTGCTTCAGAACTCGCTGCGTGGGTCCATTGCGTCCGGCCATGACTGAAGAGAGAGAGGGAGGGAGGGAGGGAGGAAGCTCTGATATACGCATTACAGCGTCAGGAGTGGCAGAAAAGAAAGCAAACCGCGGCATCATTTATGTATGATGAGCATGCTATTCCCGCCAGCAAGAAATAGCAAGCGACCATGTATAGTAAAGGAAAATCGTGTGTGTCGCCAAGTCACAGACTGATATATACAGGCTCGAATTAAAATCCAAACGGATTGGTGGGCGCTGGTGAGCTATGTTAGTTTGATCCCAAAACAAGAAGTAAAGAAGTAGGTTGACTTACTGGCTTGTGCGAGATTGGCCCGGAGACCGGTTGGCTGAGGAGCGAGCTTCTTGGGAGGGTCGTTCTTAACGCCAAACCGGACAGCAGGGGCGGGTCCGGTCGGCTGTGGCTGCAATGGTGCAGCCGTAGGTTGTTGCGGGATTGGGGGCACAGGAGGTGCGCTGTAAGGCATGCTGCCAACACCATTCATACCTGTAGGCTGAGGCTGCAGAGGCGGAGGCAGAACGGAATTGATGCCGGTCTGCATTGGCTGCTGGGGTTGCGGCTGGAAGCCCCCAAAGCCTGTAGGCTGTGGCATCAGGCCCGGGTATCCAGTCTGCTGCTGCTGAATCCCGAACTGGGACTGCGGCTGGAAGCCGGTGGGCTGCGGCGCCAATCCATTCTGGAATTGAGCCTGAGGCATGAAACCAGTAGGTTGCGGCTGGAGAGTGTGCTGGAACCGTTGCTGGTTCAATTCGGCCAGACTCTGTCCCGGCGGAGCAATCTGAGGTCCCGATTGAGGAATACCAGTCAGTTGAGGTTGCAATGGAGGCGGACCAAACGAGTTTGGCTGCTGAGGGAAGTTCTGGGGTGCGGAGAGGGGTCGCTGAGGTGGCGGAGGAAGCAAAGAGCTTTGCCCCATGTTCTGAGGCGGCTGGGGACGTTGTCTTGAAGCCTGCTGGAAGCTCGTTGCTTGAGGACTGAACCCTTGGGCACTCGGAGCAGGCTGTTGCGCGGCTTGTGCCAGCTGGGAGAAAAAGCCCGGCGTGGCTCCAGTCTGCTGTGGTTGCACTTGCGGTGCGGGCACCGCAGTGTTCTGAGGTTGGATGGTTGGCTGTGGCTGAAGAGCTGGCAAGGGCGCCGGCGGAGATTGCGGGGCAGGAGCCGCAGGCGTAGGTTGGAGAGGAGCTTGAAGCAAAGACAGGTCAGCCATGGCGCCTGCAAGTGGTTGCTGAGCCGGTGGTTGTGTAGTGGCGGGAGAGGACGCGGCCGGAGGGGGGCTTGAGGGAGTAGCTGGCGTCGAAGGAGCTGGAGCGGCGGCGGGAGCAGCAGGTTGCTTGGGCTGTTTCACCTCCCAGGCGTCGTCGTCGAAGCCCTTCTGAACCGGGGGTTCGGAAGGTGCAGCAGCGGTGGGTGGTGTCGCGCTGCGCTCCGCAGGCTGCGAAGCATCCTTCTGCTCAAAGGCCTTAGGGTCGACAACATCGCCGGCTGGCGTGTTGGGAGCGGGCCGGCCTTTACGAGTGTTGTTGCGCAGGACACCTCCAGGGCCAGAGAAAATGCCGGCGGCACCTTCTTCGCCGTTCCCGATGACTTCTTCTCCGCCAAAGCTCACGTTACGTAGCTTCGACTTGGCTCCGGTGCGGCCAAACATGTTGTCCAGATAGCGCATGACACGCAAAATATCGCCCTCCTTGAGACCCAGCGTGCGCAGGACCTCTGGGGTGATGTCCGGAAGCACGGCCTCGTCCATGGAGTCCTTGACAAAATTCTGGGCATACCGCTCGCATTGGTGCGGGCCAACGCCGGCCTTGAGGAAGAAGTCAAACCAATCATAGTCGGATTGTTGGAAGGAAGCTCCGGCAGTAGCTGAAGCACGCTTGCCCTCGGAGGGAGACCGGGCCTTTTCAGGCTCGACGCGTTGAGAACGGCGTCTGATGTCCGACAACGGCTTGTCCTCGTCGAGGGATACGCCTGTCATCTTCTCTACATACTCGAGATCCTCAACGGACATCTTCGGGATGGGAACCGCGATTTTCACGCCGTTCATCTTGTGCAGATGAATCTTGCCATCCTGCAGGCCAATGAATTGCGCCTCGACAGTGAACGTCTTGGTGCGATCAGTCCATTGCCTTGTCTTAGCCGGATCCGGTTCTGCTTCGATTAGCGACAGGGGGTCAATGCATGAAAGCAAAGGGTAATAATGACTTACTCGGCTTGTGGCTGCTCTTGCTATCGCGTTTCTAGCGTTAATCGGTCAGCATCGCCTCTAGCAATTGACCCTCTGTCTTTCGGGCAAGGAACATACCTGGCCGTCAATTGAATCGGTCCGCGACTTGCGCAAAGCTTCCTTGGTTAGCCGCGCTTCCTCCATGCGGTTCTTCTCTACAGTGGAAAGGCCCGGCTCGGAACTAATCACCGGAGTCGAGACGGTGCCGGTAATCTCAATGTAGCTACTGGGGACGACACCCTCCTTTCCGTTCTTCAAACGCCGCACCTGCCACCACTCTTCAGACTTGCCGTCATCCAGGACGATGACGTCGTCGCCCGCAGCCACCGTCACCTCATCATCGCCTTGAGCCATAAAGTCATAGAGAATCTGGCCCTTCTTCTGTCCCCCACTGGTGCCGGCGGCGATAACCTCCTTCAGACCCTCTGCGCGGTAAGCGCCGGAGATCTCACCAAGGGCTGAGACAATCTCCCGAGCCGTGTCCTTGGCACCCGCGTGGAAATCGACGCTCTTACTGGGCCGGACAAGATCCACAAAGACGTGTTTCCCTTCAATCGAGTAGTGAGTGAGCTTGTCTGCGGTCCATTCCTGCACATCACCACCCTCCTCGGGCGAGATAAAGATGGTTCCGGTTGCGACGTTGATACCCAAGGTGGTGGGCATCTTTTTGCGCTTGCCCATCACTTCCACCATCTCATTGATGTTATAGATATGATAGCCGGAGGGGGAACGAGGGGTTGGTTGGCCGACTCTGTTGTACGGGGGCGATTCCTGCACATGGCCGCCGCGGTCACTGTCGCGCAGCGAAGAGATCTGAGGACGAGGGGGCCGAGCGGGCTCGGGGGGAGAATCCAGCGTGACTGGCGACGAGATCTGCTCAGACGGGGGACGCTGTGGTAACGCAGGCGGTGGTGGCGAGGGCTCGTTCCTGTAGGGCTCCTCGGGCTCATCGTACGCTGGACGTGCCGGCTGAGGGGGCGGGGGGACGGCCCTCGGCGGTTCCGGTTCTGTCGCAGCGGCATGCTGCTTGTGGATGATATCTGCGATGGCCGCGGCGGCAGGATTCTGCACAGCGTCAATTGGAGAAGCTGCGCTGGTCCCGTTGACTTCTTCCTCTGTCACCGTCGGTCGCTGCGGGAGGGCGGGTGGCGCCGGTTCGGGTTCGGGTTCAGCGGGGGGAGGAGACGGAATGGCTGGTGCAGGGGCATGGTGCGCGCCTGCATCTTCGATGATCTCAATGTAGTTCGCGGGGGCGAAGCCGTAATCCGAGTTGACACCGACAAGGGTCCAGTCCGGGTCGGACGTGTCATACACGATCAAGTCTGCATCTTCGGAGAAGGAGACCTCCTCATCCGTCTGGCGTGTATAGTCGTAAAGTGCTTTGGCCGAGTGAACCGGTTGAGCCTACAAGTCCGACACAGATTGCGTTAGCACGAGCAGTCTCAGGTTGGAGATAGACGTTGCGGCGTTGCCGGTACCCCTGAGTGAGGGCCGGCCGCAGCGACCATACACCGGACCATGACGCAGGAAAGCATGGGCGCTAGAGTCGGGCTCCGCGTCAAGAATTGTCGGGGGACCTCAGACATCCTTACCTCCTCGACGTAGTTGTTTGGGACGAGACCCTCGGGTTCATCATCATCCTCACGCTCGGCCTTCTTCTTAGCCTTCCACCAATCATCATCTTCGCCTTTGTCGAGGATGTACAGCAGATCGCCTTCGCGCAGCTCTAATTCCCCCTCCGCTTGGGGGAGGTAATCGTAGATGGCCGTATAGACACCGAGGAAACCCATGGTGGGAAGCCGTTAGGTAGTCAAACGGCAGTGGTGGAGGGTCCGGGGGTTGTGTGCCGCGGCTGCGGAGGGCAGCGTGGACGAGCGAGACTGTGGGCCTGGAATCAGGAGAGGATGAGCCGGACGAACCGGGTGGATAAGAGGCGGGAGGGGAGGAGGGGAGGGAGTTGGGGTGGGAAATAGTAGAAGGTACAGACGAGGGAGATCGTAGTTGGGCGGACGGAGGAAGAGTGAGTGATAGACAGGAGACCCGTGCAGCAAACGTACCGAGTCGAGTAAGTATCTCACTTGCTCACACTAGTTAGTTAGTAGTGGGCAGGTACGTAAGTGGTCCAAGTGGAGGGAGGCAGCCTTGGCAAGCACCCAGCAGTAGTAGATTCCAGGCAGTTTAAGATGGGAATTCGATAGTTAGGCTTGCTCGCTGGAGGGGACAATCCGGGGTGGGTGCAGTAGCCGTCAAGGTGAAGTATTAAAAGAGAAATGAAACCGAAACTGGAAATAGAAAAAGCGGAGGGAAAGAGAGAGAGAGGATGAACGGAAAAAGGGACCGAACTGGACCGGCGATGAAGCAGCAGCAGCAGAAAGAAGCGCAACTGATGGCTGAGGGGGCCGGGCGGTCACGTTTTCTGCACCCACGTTTTCTTGGATTTAGTTTATTAATAGCCAGCAGGTGTTCGATCATCTGCAGCTTGTAAAAGTCTTATTCTTATAAGTCTTATACAGAATAGATGTAGTTCTTCTTTAACTCAGTGTGATATGATCTTTATTACCGTTTACTCTCTCCCTCCTGATCCCGTTTGACCGTGAATGAGAATGGCAATGCTTTCGGACGAGCCTGGAATGCCTGCCTTCCCCCCTTATCGGGTCAGCCCAGCCCTCTTTGGGCACTCATGGCCTCCCCTCCCTCCACCCCCCGAAAGCCACCATTATTGGCTCTGGTGCTCGCCATGGCCGGAGTTGAGTCTACTTACTACTATTTAATTCATACTTATTGAATTAGATTAATGTCAGGTCAATAGTCCCAATACACGGCAACTGGGACAATCGTAATCTATGCAATGGATATAATCAGCCGTAGCTACGAACGCTAGAAGCAAAAATAGGTAGACGCAAAAGAGGAAGTTGCACAACCGCAGCCCGAACGAGCAAAAGCAAAACCATCACAATAGCTACAACTCATCCTTGACCCTCTTCTTGCTTACCTCCTCAGCTTCGTCGGTCTCCAATGGCTGCTGTTCTTCCGGGTGCTGTGGTTGTGGCTCCTGCCCTGCCGCCTCAGCTTCAGTCGTCTCCTTGGAAGGGGCGGCATCCGTGACCATCTCTTCCTGGGAGCCCTCTCCGTTGTCTTCCTCCTCTTCGTCATCGTCGACGAGGCCGCGCAGTTGACGTTCTCCGTTGACTGAGATAACCTCCAGCGTCCAGTCCTTACCCTTAGCCCACTCCTCCAAGCGCTTCTTCAACGTTTCGAGCTTCTCGGGGTCCAGATCGTGCTTTTTCAGGTCCTCGCGCGACAATTGTTGCACTTCCCCGTTCTCGCGCTTGGCCACGACCTCGATGATCTCTTCTCCGGCCCACGCGACGCGTCCTTTCTCGATCTCCTTGCCTTCCGATCCCACCAGCTTCTGAGCACCGACCTGAATGTCTCCGACGACCGGGAGCTCCTCCATTACGGCTGACTCCACTAGTCGCTGCGCCAGCTGGTACTCCCGGAGCGCTTCCCAGTCCGATACTTGCTCTGGGGAAATAATCTCGCGGCACTCAATTCCATGGACCTCGTCCTGCTGGGGCGGCAGGAAGGCAACGTCGTTACATAGACGCGGGGTGTAGATGACCATGAGGTAGGAGCATGTGGTCAGCTCCTTGATCCAACCAATGCGGTCTGTCGACTGAGGGTGGCAATGAAACTGGACCTCGATTTTCCGGTCCCGACCTGTCAGGTCGCATTTCGTGCCGCCATCCAATCGTTGCACCAGGTACCGGGAGCCGCCCTTCGTCTGGAGCTCCGCCACATCTGTAACAGGTTTCTTCTGGTCGGCGGCCCCTTCTACCTCATCTTCGTCGCCATCTCCTTGAGGAAATTTGCCCAGAATGAAAGAGTGTGTCGTATGGTCCTCCATGGGCGGGTAGTTGGGAATGCCACTCCCGGAGGGGAGGGCGTGGAACTGCTTAATCTGGTTCTTGTAGCAGAAGGAATAGGACCACCATCCGGATATATAATACATGCATTTGCCCTCCATCTCGCGCAGGAGCTCCAGGCCCCGATCCATCGCGCGCGCCAGCTCCTTCTGTTCGTCCGCCTCGTGAGGATGTCCCGTGGAATTGGTCCGATCGTCGACATCGACGTGAGGGATCTGGCAGAGAAATCGCTGTTCTCCTAAAAGCATTTCCTCATAGCTGAATCCGTCATCGCCATCCCGGGGTTTCGCCTGGTCGTTGTCATGGGTACTGCGGCCTAGATACACCTGAGCGGATTTCTCTTGAGTATCGGCGAAAGTAGAAGAGCTATCACTGCGTTCTCGTAAGAGCTCTCTGGCGTGGGACTCGAGGACGTAGTCATCGGGGAAAAGAACCTCAAACTAAGAGTGAAAACCAGTTAGATTGAGCTGTGAGGGGTGCACAAGATGCGATGCATACTTGAGGGTAAGCTAATAGGTCATCATGGATGTTGAAGGCCTTCTTGTTGGCCCAAGCCGTGGAACTGGCACAAGCCAGTCCAAGCAGAATATTTACAACCTGGTTCCGACGTGCCATGGTCGATTGTAGGGAGAGGATGGGGTATCAAGTGAGATGGGTCGGGTCAAGGCCGCCGGCCGCGGTGTTCCTGAATGCGACGATCTGGCCTGATTGGGTACGGGACGGAGTTGAGTGGCCAATAGCTTGGTGGGGGGTTAGGGATGTGTACGCGGGGAATATAATCAAGGGAACATTATTGTAAAGATGATACCCTAAGAACCGGAATTACTGTTGGGGTATGATGATCGTCGAGGCCGTGATGCACAGGGACATGCCAGTTGGGAAGAGCAGCAGCGCAGCAGCGGAGAGCCGTGGATATCTTATCAGCACGTGCACACCCAGGAGCTGGACAACATAACATGCAAAGCAGTCACTAAACTGACTGTACTTACTCCTTAGTGGGGAGGGAGTGTAGTACAAAGTTATGCAACTACCACAATCTCAGAGACACATAGATTAATTATCATAGCACATTCCAGAATTATGCATCACCCATCACCCACCACCCACCACCCAATTACTTACAATCATCATTATGAAGAATTGACTAACCCACCACTAATCCTTAACTGACTACAACCCGCCTACGGAAAACCAGACAGCTGACCCCACTGAGTCAGCCCTGAATAATGGCGCTAAAACTGCTGACGGCAATCTTTGTAATGGGCGCGACCCATGGACCTTCAACATACGGAGGAGTATTTTCTCTCTCCACAATTGACTTTTCCCCATCCAATCCACATACACCCAACAGCAGCCAAAAGGAATAGTTTTGATTATGATTACTTACTTTATGCTAAGCTAAACCAACTAAACTTAATTCAACTAACCCAAAACCATCAGCTTACCCAAATCATTATAAGAAGTTGACTAACCACCACCACATCTTCCCCATCCCCCATTCCATACCATCGTAGCACCTTCTATATCATTCGCACTGCCCTCGCAGACAACCTTATAAAAGGCCGCTCACAGGACCACATGAAACTCCTCGTTTCGTTTTTCATCGCTATCATCGCTATTGTCTTGACTTGCAATACATCTACTTTCACTAGATACTTTACATCTACCACCAACACCAACACCAACACCACGAACACAACCATCACACCCAACAACACACATACTACAAACCTCACCAACATGTCCTTCCCCCGCGCCATCCGCCAAGCCTTCCTGGCCATCGAACAAGCCGAAGGCGCCGGCGCCCGCGTCCGCCGCTCCATCGGCACACGCAACCTCCGCAACTTCAGCCCCTTCCTCATGCTAGACCACTTCACCATCGGCAAAGGCGCCGGTTTCCCGGACCACCCGCACCGAGGCCAAGAAACCATCACATACCTCCTCTCAGGCGGAGTCGACCATGAAGACTTCGCCGGAAACCGAGGCACCATTGGCCCTGGCGATCTCCAATTCATGACCGCCGGACGAGGCATCATGCACGCTGAGATGCCGCACGAGAACCCGGACGGCAGTCCCAACGTCGGCATGCAGCTCTGGGTGGACCTGCCCAAGGAGCTGAAGATGTGCGAGCCGCGGTACCGCGATCTGCGGGCGTCGGAGATCCCCATTGCCACAGCGGATGACGGGCGCGTCACGGTGAAGGTCATCTCCGGGCAGTCGCATGGAGTTGATTCGGTACGGGATCTGGCGTACACGCCTGTTTGGCTGTTGGATGTGACGGTGAAGCCTGGGGGCCGGGTGAAGCAGGTGCTCCCCGTGGGGTGGAACGCGTTTGCGTATACGTTGGCCGGGAAGACGATTTTCGGGTCCGGCGGGGAGACGAAGACCATTAAGGAGTTTCATAATGTGGTGTTTGAGCAGAAGGGCGATTTCGTCGAGGCGTCGGTTCCCGAGAATGCGGATGAGGAAGGAAGGTTCCTTTTGGTGGCGGGGCAGCCGTTGGATCAGAAGGTCGTGCAGTATGGCCCGTTTGTGGTCACCAGTGAGCAAGAGGTGTACCAGGCGATGGTGGACTTCCAGACTGCGTCGAATGGGTTTGAGAAGTCCAGGAATTGGGAGAGTGAGATTGGGAAGCGCATGGCTTATTAGATTCGGTTGATGTGTTTAGTTCATACTACTAGATGAGTTTTGTATAGCTGTATTGGCGTTTGGTTTGAGTTTTGTGAATGTGTATATAGATCACTTAATACCATCATGAGTGATGAGTCCAGTGGAATTTTCTTTGAGTAGAGATACTTTTATGGTAGACAGAAATTGTTCGTCAAATGCTGGTCCTACGAAAGTGGGTAGCAAACTTTAGGAGTATAATGCATAACATTCGCTATATCAACAGGGAGAACCCAGAAATCGAGCAAAATCATCCAGTCAGGCGAAAGGGGCGGTTCTCAGAACGCACCCGTTGGGTGTTCTGGATGGACGTGAGAAGAAATCTGACCCCAAGACACCTATTATATCTTACAGAACGCCTACTCCGGCCAGTCCGGATTTCACCGAGCCGACATACGTCTCTCTCCTGCCAACTGCAGGCTTAACTCAACCGCGATTCATCTATTTGGCAAAGTGCAGGTCGTAGCCCAGCCACTTGCGGGCAAGGATGCCCGGCACATCCAGACCCGGGGTGCCGTACGTCAACGGGGCATAGAAGACGAATCCGTAGATCGTACCGGCCAGGATGACCAGGGTCGCGATCCAGCCCGCAAGAAGGGACTTGGTGCCCATACGTTCCTTGGCCGTAACGAAGCGTCCAACCGAAGCTGACGCCTTGGCCTTGCCCGAGGGGTCGTCTTCGGACCGGACGCGCTGAATGACCGAGAGCGGCTCCAGGTTGAAAATGAACTCGATCAAGGCACCAGCCACAAGAGCCGAAGCAAGATGAGCGGGGAGGTAGTGGTGCAAGAAACGCTGACGGCCCATCAGCCAGAAAGGGAAGTAGTGGGCAGCCCAGCACAGGAACAAGAATCCCATGCTGTTGTACAGGCGGGAACGGGAGCCTTGGCCCCAGACTGTCACACGTTTAGTAGCTGCTCACAATAATCACAAGGGTATTTACTTACTCTCTTCCACGGCATCGACACCGCGACGCAGAGACAGCTGGTCAGCACCGATGACACCGGCAAACACCGCCAACAGACTACTAGCGATCCACCATCCGACCGGGTTACCAAGGAAATAGATCTGCTCCCGGGTGTCGTTCTTGGTCCAGAAGCTGACACCGCGGAGCAGGAAAGGCCACTGGAAGGGCTCACTCGCGTACGGGTGGCTGCTGGTCAGGGCATTGTTGTGGAAGAACATGGCGCGCTGCAGTTCAAGGTACTTGCGGAAAAAGGGCAGGTGCTTGACCTGGCGCTCTTCCTTGACCAGACGGGGACTGTCCTCTTCCAAGGACTCAATCGATTCAACGAACCACAAGTTGCTGGTCTGGAGGATATTCTTGTTGCCGTTGATCTCGGCTTGCTTGAAGGCCCAGTCGGGCAGCGGCGTGGTGTGAGTCCACATGGCCACACGCGTGGGCATATGGATCAGCTTGAAGTGGCTGGACAAAGTGCGGAATTCCTGATGGGGCTTGCCGTTCTCGATCTTAATCTCGAACAGTGTGTCATTGTGACGGTCACCGTTGGCAACCTCATGGGAAACAGTGGTGAACTCCTGGTTGGTCGGGTAGTAGGGAGATGCAACATCGTGGGTGAGCAGAATGGTGTCTGTGCCCATATGGCGGAGCTGAACAACATCACCGTTGCGCACCTTGTGTCCGCTGGTATCAGTCACATCCAAAGGCACCGTTGGGATGATCTGCCATTGGTTGTTCGTGTCGTTATAAGGGTATCCGGTGACCTGCTGGCCCTGACTGGAGATACGTCCATCATCGTACCGAAGGGGATACCTCTCAAGATGACTGTGGAGGTAGACCTTGGTATCCTTGTGCTTCATGGTAATGGTGTCGTAGTATTCAATACCGATAGACTGCGCGCTCAGCACATTATCGCTGAGAGTTTCCTGGAACTCGGGGGTCATGAAATCATCGCCGGGACCGGAGCGGGTGAGGATGGCAAAGTGGACTTGGAACCAGAACAGATAGAAAAAGAAGGGCACAATGATCAGAGCAAAGGCACGAGCAACGAAGTGCTGACCCCACTGGAACATGGTGAGAGCACCGCCACGGCGCCGGATATCCAAGAGATTCCACAGATCAACCATGACGGCCGAACCGATGGTGACAAAAGTGAAGACACCGACGTACTTGGTGGAGATGACACAGCTGAGTGACACACCGGTCAGGAGCAGCCACTTCCACCATTTCCGTCCAAATGCCTCGTGGCGCAGCTTGTAGAAGCGGATATAGCATAGGATGCTCAGGGCCATGGTCAGGACCAACGAGGCATCCAGAAGGATCAGACGGTCCTCTCCGATATGGGCATTGTCGAACAGCACAAGACCAGCGGACAAAACACAAGCGGGCAGCGAGTATCCGGATTCCCACATGATCAGGAACACGACGGGAACCGTCAGGGCACCGAGCGTGGCCGGCATAGCCCGAAGAGCCACGTAGGGGACCTGGTGTTCAATGTAGGAATCACCAATGTTATCGAAGAGGAAGTGGCCATCATAGCCGACCAGCCAGCCCATGAAGGCGAAAAGGAGCTTGCCAAATGGAGGGTGGACATCGAAGAAGTACGTGCGCTGGAGGTAGTACGAGGCAAACTAGAGCAGATTCCCGTTAGCAACCCGCCATCACGGAGCTTCATGCAGATCAATCGAGAGCGGGCTTACCTTTCCAAAGTGCACCTCATCAAAGACGACCTCGTTGGGGTAGGAAATCTTGTAGAAACGGGTGACGAATGCAAGCACGGTCAGGATGGAAATGGCCAGCCAGTAATCCCATTCCGAACGAGGAGCACTCGCTTTGGACAAAGGAGAAGAGAAATTATCCGCAGGCACGGGAGTACTCTCCTTCTTGCCGCCCCTCTTGCGGAGAGAGGGCGAAGGAGATGAAGACATGATTAGGTAGTGTGGTCAAGAAAAAGAACGAACGAAAGACACCTAATGGACTTCTAGAGGCGCATAGAAACAACAGGTCAGCAAGCCGGACGGAGCGGGTAGGAGAGCATTCGCATGCTTCTGCCTTTTTGTGAGGGCTACTTACGAAAAGAAAGCAAGAAAAAGCCAGTCAGGAAAAGAACATGATAGACCGGAGGGATGAATATACTTAATGGTCACAGCCGCAGCAGCGAGAGGGGGGCGGTTTCTGTTGCCGATGGGGGCGGATTGCGTGTCTTTCTGGCCTCCCAAACGCTTGCGGAACGGAACAAGGCGTTGGTCCGAACTTGAAACAACCCCCCATCCGGGGCCAATTTATGGGAAACGTCGCGCGATGAAACACGTGTACTTCAGCAGTTCGAGCAGTTTTGCGTCCAGGATGTGATCGTCATTATCCGTCGGAATTTCAATATTTGGATTTGAGCTAGACAATTATATAATGTTATCATAGTGGTGCTGATGAACCCGATCAACGTATTCCTCAAAACTACCCGGGGATATCCAATGCCAAATCAATGCACCTCAACGCTGAACATGACCGCATGCAGTATATACAATTTGAGAAATTAAGAAAGAAAAACAAGCCCCAATACAACTATCTCAGTCGTCGTCCGACACGTTCAGTAATTCAAGTTCCGTCTTGACAAGTGACTGGAAGTCGCTGCGCGAGATGCCTGTAGCTTTGGCCAGTCGGAACAGACCCTTGATGCTCGAGCCAATGTGCTGTTTGACACCCACTTCATACGCCGACTGGTTCTCCGCCTCTTGTTCGAGCCTGGCCACGGCTTCGGAGCTCGCAGACGAGATGGAAGAGGGTCGGGGGTGGTTCAAGCCAGCATGTTCTCCATTGGCAGCGACACCGTTTGAGGTATGGGTCGGCTTGTCAGCTTCATCTCCACTGAATTGGCGCTGAAGCAGTTTGGCCAGCATATCGCCATTGAGGGAGGATGGTCCAACCTCGGGTTGTTCCTCCTCAGGATCATGGTTGTCCAACGCGGGCTGCACATCGCCGTAGCGAGAAAAGTAATCCGCTTCTGACTGCTGCAGGGATGAGACGGCATTAGGAGCGGGCGTCTTGTTTGCTGGAGTTCGTCCGGGGGTTGCATCGTATTGAGCCCAGTAGTCATCGTCATCATCTTCCTCCTCTTTCTGGTTCTTTGCCTGCTCAGCAGCCTCGCCAGCTTTCAGGGCATCCTCGAGCAGGCGGTCTTTCTGGCGAGCGTTTGCCTCCCCGATGGAAACAGACCAGTCTTCAGCATCGTCGACGTTGCCCTCTTGCGGCAACAGTTCTGCTACCCGCCACGCGGGGCCTCCGCCTTCCTGATCCTCGGGGCACCAGAGGTAGATGATCTTCAGGCTGAATTCGGGAAGGATCACGCGCGACCGTAGGGTCTCCTCGTCCACACGCATGTACCTGACCGGGAGCTCATCGGGAAGCTCAATCTCACCCGACACCGGGTGCGGCTCGAAGGTTGCGCCATCCACCAATGTTTGAAGGCGCTCAGCCTGTCCAGCATCCCAGCACAGCAGTCGAAGCCATGATTCGGTAGGCGAGGCAGATACTGAGCTTAGGATCTTAACCCGTTGACGTAGAATGGGAGACAGGAGGGGCAGCAGAGCCGGAGGGGGTTGAGGCGATACGAAAGCCGTAGGAAGACAGGCGAGTAGAGGTGGCAGCAAAGTGCGGGGCTCAGGAGGGGGGATGAGTGCGACCATTTTGGAGTGAAGAAAGGAGACTGGATTGCGCAAGTCGCCTAGAGGAAATGCTGAGGTGGCAGCTGCAAGTCCTTTAAGAGGGGAGCTCTGTCGACAGCTGGGTTTGGGGGGAGAAAAGCTGCGGCGGTGAAAAAGGAAGATTGGATCAATCACAGCCAGCAGGTACGGGAGCACAGAATCGAGCAGTCACAGGCGCGCAAGTCGAGAGGGAGAAAACTGATTGAAGATCAGGAGGATAGAGCCATCTTCTATATGGCAGAACAAGGGGAAAGGAGAGGACAGACGATCAGTCAGTCAGAATCAGTAGCGTGGCCATCGCAGGTGTTCAGGTCCCCTTCCTTTGATCCCATGGATCTCCTCACGGAGCTGTTTGGCTCCCTTCGCCCGAAGAATCGGCGTGGGTCAAGAAGACGCGGGGGGCCAGATGGAGCCATGGAGTCCACTGCGAGCCATTGAGAGGAGAGCAAATAATCCATTGGAATGGAGAGGCGATCCTTGGAGGAATTTCTAGATAGCAGATAGATAGATAGCAGAGATAACTGCGTGCAGAAGAACTGCTAAGGGTTTTAAACTCTCAAAGATTCCAATCAAGCAGGGATTCCGCGGATCCCAACCTCAGGCAGGACTTTGTCTTTTATACTTGTTTTGCGGGGGTTTTCAAAGAAGCAAATTATTCCTGGGCTTCCACAAAGTCGATCGTTTCAGTTATATAAGTTTATCGCTTGTATGCTTGTTTCTTTAAGGCCACGCACAAGTTGTCTCGCCGTGGAAATAGTTTTCAGCCCGTCGCTGGTTGCATTCTTAATTCCTCATGCAGTTCAGCTCGGGATCTGGTCAATCAACTGTCGATTTCTAATCCGCTACGTTCAAGAAATACGTAGTAGAGTATGAACTGCTACTCCACCCTTCCACGAGACTCTCCATAGATCAAAAGCAATTTCAGACAATCTGCAGAATCTCAGTGGGACAAATTTAAGATATGCACTCCCCACTGAAGCTTGTTCTGCATCATGATTGCTTCTCTCATACTATCATGTGTCACTCACTAAACAAAGCAAAGTCTACCAAGTCATGCTTCGATTGGCTTCCTCCAACATCCACGCAAACAATTTCCCCATCAGTCTCATCAGCAAGAGATTAAACCGCCACCGATCAGCATGGCTGTCCGCACTCGCCATCGCTAGTCGCAATCGCAATTGATTAAAGCCCCGCGACTCCAATGCAGCGTCGGGCGCTACGAGGGCCCAGCTCGCCTTCGGAGATCTCCCGGCTTATGCTAGCCAATAGATGCACCAGATGGGGTCAAATTTTGCAGGGTCGTTTAGGATGAAGAACGACTAGCGAACGGGGTTATGCATGGGTCGCAAGCTGGTCCAAATCCCGCTGAAAACTAAGAGTGGGAGGAGTCACAATAGATAAGCTGGCTGCTGGCCTACCCTCCCCCCTCGGAATGTAGCCCAACGTCTCCCTGGGAATATGCCACTACGCTCGCATCTGTCGCATCTGTTCTTCGATTGCTCGCGTGTGCATCATGGATCCCAAATATTCCGAAACGGTCGTCGTTGAGAGCCACAATGATAAGGTCGAAAGCACGCAGGATGTCCAAGGTTACGCGGATCTCGACCCGGAAGAACTGAAGGCTCTCGAAACCCGCATCCGATGGAAAACCGATTTGCGCCTCTGCACCATTGCTGGCACTCTTTGCAGTCTCAATCTGCTTGATTCGGGCATCTTGTCATCAGCCTCGGTTACCAGCATGCCCGATGACCTGGATCTTATTGGCACACGATACTCCGTTTCTGTCTTCATCTTCACCATCGCCAGCGTCGTCTTCCAGCTGCCGTCGACCATCGCAGTCCGCTGGGTCGGCCCACGCATCTGGTTTGCATGCATCGCCTTCGCCTTCGGACTGATCACAATGTGCACCGCCTTTATCCACACCTGGAAGGAGATGATCGCCCTCCGCGTGCTCTTGGGTATGTCCATGTCGGGGATTTACCCAGGTCTGACCTATCTCATCAGCGCCTGGTACCCGCGACGGGAGCAGCAGCTGCGGTTCGCTTTGATGCAGTCAGGCGAAGTCATCGGTCTTGCGACGGGCTACATCGTGAACTATGGCCTCGAACTGTTGGATGGGAGAGCTGGCATGCAAGGCTGGCGCTGGATGTACCTCGTGCAGGGCCTCATCAGCTGCGTCATCGGAATAGCCACTTACTGGTGGATCATCGACTTCCCAGAGAATGCGCATAGCAGTTTCTGCTTCATGTCCGAACTGGAGGCCCGCGTCGCCGCTCAACGCATCAAGGCAGACCGTGACGATATCGTTCCGGACCCGTTTTCATGGCGCAAGGTTCTCGCACCTTTCGCCGACCCGAAGCTGTACGGCTTTGCATGCATGTATTTCCTGCTAAACCTAGTATCAACTGCATTGAACTATTTCCTTCCAATGATCCTCGAGGACGGCATGGGATTCTCGAGCAACGATTCGATTCTCCTATCCACACCGGTAAGCCCCTCACCTTCACATCTTCTATCTATAGCCCTATACTAACGGCTTAGTAGCCCTACTACTGGGCCGTCATCCCAGTCATATTCACCTCCTTCGTCGGAGACAGATACCGCATCCGCGGCCCACTCATCGCCTTCAACGCCCTCTGCCTCATCGCCGGGTTCCTCATGTTCGGCCTCCCATCCTCCACCCAAGTCACCGTCCGATACATAGGAACGTTTCTCGCGACAGGAGCATACGTCTCCAACTGGGCAGCTTTGAATGCCTTTATGGCCAACAACGTCGTCGGCCAATGGAACCGCGCAACAACGGCGGCGGCAGTCTCAGCCTGTAACGGCCTGGGCGGCGTTGCGGGTAGCTACATCGTACGACAGCAGGAAGCACCGCGCTATGAGACGGCAGTGTGGGTTTCTATCGGGTAAGTCTCACCCAAAGAAACAAAAATGAAAAGGAAAGGGGAGAAAGAAGAAGAAAGGAATACCTAACTCACTAATCGATAAATCAGGTCCCATATCCTAATGATAGCTCTCGTGTGCGTTTTCACGTTATTTTTCTGGCATCTCAATCGGCAGCAAAAGCATAAGGGGCGGCTTATCCAGAATATGGTATGTCTTGCCTATGAGTCTTTCGATGTTTCTTTACTCATAACAGTATTGCAGGTTGGATTCCGCTATACTTACTGATTACTGCATCTTGTTGTATATGATGAGGCCCTACTAGTACTACAGAAGAGATATATATATGATGTTGATGATGACTAGAGCAGTGATGAATATGTTACTAATATTCAAGCTAATAATGTTTTATCTAAGACTCCACCAGTAAACCAATACACTACTGTAGTATTTGCCGTCAGATCCTGTTTTCAAAGAGTAGTATAGAATTGTAGCTGAAGTACCATATTTCAAATACTAAGGACTTCAATTGACGGGCCAACAGACTCGATTCGGGATTTGATTGAATTTAGCAGTAGCTCTCACGATCTCAAGGATCCCCGTCGAAAAGTAGTAGTATTTCGGGTAACTGTAATTGCACCATAGACCGATAAACATTTGAAGAAGCTACTAGATAGGGTGTATGTATCATATGTCACCTCGAACTGAGCTCATGCATCATGATGGTTCCGCCACAACAAGTAGAAGCACAAACAGGGTGTCGCATACAACGATCACTTGAAGGCAGTTGGGGTAAAGACAAATGAGTATATCCCTAAACATCAACCTATTGTGATCTGTCATCAATCACTGGATTCTTCGGTATATCATATCGAACATTGGTTAACCTAATCTAAATACTATAAGTATAAGAACGCATGAACCACACAGGTATCATACTGTACATCAGTTTTCATGATTTATACTCATTATAACCACAACTATAATACATCTATGGATCTATGGACCCTCTTTCGGTCGCACCGCATACCCATGCATCGCCTCCTCCAGCGAGATATTTTCCGAATAGTACTCAGATTCCCGCGCCACCATCGTCTGACTTCCCAGTGATGGGACATGCGATCCGCGCGACTGACTGTTGTCCCCGAGTCGAGAGAATCCCTCCGGAGTCTTGGCATTGCCCTGGTTGGTTGGGTAGCGGCGATGATAGCACTGCGGAGTCTGAGAAGAGCCCTTGCTGCGCAGCTGTTGAGGTAGAATGCGCATGATCAACGGCCAAATGGGTGGGAGACAGGCGGCGATGATGATGATTCCGCCTTCTAGGATGGTCCAGATTCCTAGGTTGGTGGATGTCCCTGAGTTGATGTGGTTAGCCCGGGTGGGAGTTCGTTGAGGTATGTGGACAGAAAGGACGTACAGGTTGGGTCGGTCGTGGCATTTTCTTGAAAGAAAATCGTCATTCGCAAGATACTGGCTACAGTCCCTCTGGTAAGGACGGAGTGTGTAAGTTTATTCGATTCTGGTCCAGTGCGTTGCTGGGGTGGTGATAGTATATACTTACAAACTGCCGAGGAGGAATACTCCCGTCAAAGCCAACTTCTGTCCTTTTCGCGTATGTAGTTTCCAGACATATGGCAATGGCATGATCAGAAGGAGGACGTCTGTCAAGATATTGGGCGGCGACACATAGCGGTAGAAGGCCAGTTGATTGAAGCACGATCCTCCTTCAATGGTTGTATCCCAGACGTATGCTATCGGCCAGCACTGGAAGATGGCCGCAAATAGGATGCCGAGGCCATGTCCAAGCACGATAGCACCGACTATATATGCCATGTTTTTGAACGATCGGGTGGTGAAGATTCGGAGGTAAAAGACCAGAATGGAGATTTTGGCTGGAGTGACTGTGAACGGGAAGTCGAGAATCTCGTTGGCATACAGGCCCTGAATCATGTTAGGCATGTCGGCATTAACAATCAAACCAGGGAGTTATACCTTCTCCAGGATCACCAGCTTTTCAGGCGTCTCTTCGACATATTCCATGTGATGTCCGACTCCTGCGAGCTTAACCACTTTGCGAAAGGAAACCCAACGGTCAGTGCTTGATCGGGCTGTTGTTGAAATATCCCACTTACAGATGATGTACAAAGCCGATTGGCCCAAGCTGGCGATCTGTAAACAATGTAAGCACGGAACAAGAACCAGAAGGACAGGCAAGTAAGTACCAATGCCAGAAGAATCAGGTAATCATCGAGAGCTAAAGCCAGCTGTTGCAGGCGTCTTGTATAGAAACGTGCTACAACCACCACAATTTGAACAACGGCAATCGCAACGGACACGCCTATCAGCGCATCACCGTTGTACGGAATATCGGGATCAGATCGTGCATTCATCGCCACCTGAAACTCGACTCCCCATCTGCCATTAGAGGTCCCTGTCTGCTACTTCAACAGTTGCATGCATCTGCAGCCTGCAGCTATCATTGAAGCAGGGGGGACCTTGAAAGGTTGAGAGAATTTCATCTTTTAATTGCGAACAGAGCCAAGACCACAACTGCTAGCTTCTGACGCGTTCCTTGGAATGAGAGCATTCGGCTTCACTGGGACCGACTTGAAACTCTTGGGCGATGGATCCAGTCAGTTACATAATTCGATGTCGAGCGTACCGTGCTGGTGCCACGGGCAAAAGATGTCCAAATCGATGGTTCTCTCATCATTCGCGAAAGTCAATCTCCGCCGATCCCCACATGGCTTTCGGATGGCTTGCACAGACTCTTGGAACCGACCCTCGATCTGATACCATGCCCACATATTATGCCGCCCAGCGTCCAGTTCCTGGCAGGTTTGAGCCCACAAGGGCGCGCTAGCATCGTGCTCGGACTCGATCTTCCATCTCATTCGTTCTCGGGTATCCTCCACCACGCGAGTCAGGGCCCCACGCTTGCGATTCTTCAGCTTGTGTTCCGATTATCCCTTCATCATACTAAAGCCCTCTATCCGCGACATTTTATGTTTGCTCCTGTACATTCACCCGTCCCTACAGAATATTGCATCTAGCACCCTGAAAGAGCAAAACAACACGAAATCCAGACTTCAAAATGTCTCTTGATCGTCAGATATCAGAGCTAACAAGCGTTGTCCAATCTAGCAGAGATGGCATTGATGATACCACCCGGTTCAAGGCCATCAAAGCCGCGCAGGGATTACTGGCAGCCTTGGGCTCTCCAGCCGAGACAGTCATTCAGGATGTCGTTCTGGTAAGTCTTCAGGATCATGCTGCCCATTTCCGTTGATATGCCCATTAACATCTATAAAAGAATTCAGTCCTTCTCATGGCACTTCGTATGGGTGTCCAGCTCGATGTTTTCAAGACCGTCAGAGACAGTCAAAGTCATGCAACGACCACACAGCAGATTGCCGGTAAATCCGGCGCAAGTGTGGTTCTCGTGGGTAGATCTCCCTTATCTTATCAATCTCTATATTAGCCCTCGTTGAATTCGAACTCGTGGGTCGACGATGGATACACACTTCCTTTCTCTGTGGTCCCACTTTGGAGGGGGCGATCATAATTGTTTGGGTGCAGCGTTATGGTGAACATGCACCAAACACAGATTCCGACAAAAGTCCGAATAATGCATACTGACACTGCACCCCTTAGACCAAATCATGAGGCTGCTCGCAGCTTCTGGCTATGTTTTGGAAGATGATGTCCAGTCATACAAACCATCGCCACTCACAATGGTAATGGCTGAGCCTACCTTCGAAGCCACAACTCGAGCATGGTAAGTCCGTCGGACACACTAGCAGACTGGCGTCAGCTTATGCGAGGCCTTTTAGCTTCGATATTGGCAACTTCTGTACCACAAGAGCCCCGGAATTCTTCCGCAACAATAGCAACCAGTTCCCCAAATCCGCCAAAGACACACCTTTCCAGCTCGCAATGAACACGGAGTTCAGTTATTTCGAATGGCTTGGTCACAATCCCGAGCTGGCAAAGGACTTCCAACAATGGATGACCCTGAAGCAGCAAACAACACCAAACTGGGCCGACTGGTTCGACATCAAACACTCTATCACCGACGGTTTCAATGACTCAGCTAACAACGTCCTCCTCGTTGATATCGGAGGAGGCGAGGGCCATTACCTGCATGCATTGAACGAGAAAGTCCCCTCTCTCCCCGGACGTCTAGTTCTGCAAGACCTGCCACACGTTGTATCAAGTATTAAGAATCCTCCGAAAGGAACCGACTTGATGCCTCATGACTTCTTCACTCCGCAGCCGGTGAAAGGTAGGCGCAGCCAGGCTCCACAAATCAATGCCGCAATCAAACATGCTGACGGTCTTCCTATCTCGTAGGTGCTCGAGCATATTATCTGCACTGGATCCTTCACGACTGGGCCGATGAGCAAGCCCGTCATATCCTCACCAATATCGTCGAAGCTATGGAACCTGGCTATTCCCGCCTCATTATCAATGAGTATATCATCCCTGATAGACAATGTGATTTTCCCACTGCGTGCATGAGTATCATGATGATGATTCAGGTTGGCGCGTTCGAGCGTTCTGAGAAGCAATGGCGTGAGTTGCTCAACTCTGTCGGCCTGGAAAAGATCGTTTTCCATCAGCCGCCTAGTGGTGGCGAAGGTATTATTGAGGCTATCAAAAGTCCTAATTGAATGGACTGCTGTACATAGATAGTGCTTCGTGCAGCGGGCTGCTGACGATGCGTTTGAGTAGGTAGATGGTCAATTTTTATAAAAATCTAAAAAGTAAAGCGAGCAACAAGATGAATTCTGATTTTATTGTAACTAGTTAACAATACTGTATAAAAGCAGAAGCAAGCAGCAGCTGGAAGAGTTGAGTATGAAGGTTGAGTTGGATACGCCTAATTGGGCAGGTGGGTGCGAGCCGTTGAATGCTGCAGATAGAACTTGGGCGGTCACATGGGACTCGTGACTACACGCTTACCTGCCTAGTCTATCGTAATACTTGTACTACTACACAGTTATGGCATCTGGATCCGCTAAAGGAATCATTGCAGTTGAGCAGGTATTATGTACAAATGTTGGCTGGATCAGATCTCTTCGAACCCATTTCGTTCTTCTAGCTTGGAACAAATATAGATACATCAACGAGGTGCCTCGGGGTATATGATAAACTAAACAGCGGCGCCGCTCAAAATGTGTTACAGATCGGGAAGAAGACTAAAGCACCTCAGATGAATCAATCGGTGGATTGTTGGCTCGGAGAGAACAGAATAGGACAAAGGGAACAATAGACCAATCTTGTCGCCGTGTCCGCTGGAAACAACACAAGATAGTCATTCATCCCTTTTCGCCAAGACAGGCTGGATGCGCATCAGTTGTTCCGGTCCTGCTGCTCCAACTTACCAACGAGTTTCTTCATGCCCGCCCATTCATCGGCAGGAACGTCTTCTGGAGTACCGCTGAGACCCTTTCCGACTTCAAAGACAGTAACGACACCATCAAGCCCACCCGTTGCAATGCGCCTGCCCTCGCGCTCTTCCCAGGCTACCTTGTTGAGACTCCTCGTTAATATACCTCCACGGCCCTTGGACGGTGTCGTCTTCACGACGGGGACTTCGGTGTCTGTGTAGAGATCCCAGACTTCGAGGTTTCCAGCACCGTCGACGAGAGAGAAGACACCGGGGCGGTGAGGGGACCATCGTGCATCGTACACGACGTCCTCACGATTAATGTCAAGAATAGGCTCCACAACCTGAGTTGTGGCTATGGCGGAGGTTGCTGGGGCAGTCGTTGCCGGCGGACGGATGCGCCAGAGTCTCACGCTCCAATCCAGACTAGAGCTAAGCATGAGATCGCCCAGATCAACTGGACCGCGAGCCGGATGGAATGCAGTAGACATGATTGGGGCTTTATGACCGCGATACACAAGGCGATGGTCGGTACCAGCCTTGGCCCCGGCTCTATCGTAACGGTGGCATGGGTAAATTCCTCCTTCCTCAGTACCAACGATGAAAAACGTGGGGTCGGACTGCGGAAATGACATCGTCGTGGGTGCAAGATCTTCTGTTTTCGAGGGCGGGGGGGTAGATAGCTCGAGGTATTCTTGAGGCTGAGAAAGCATGTCGACCGTCCAACCGCAGACCACGCCATCTGTTGATGCGGTCAAAATGTTATGGGCATTCTGTGTTCCAATGATGGAAATACTGTAGACCGGGTGCGTATGCCCAGAGCCAGTCAACGGCGTCTTCTGGACGGGGGCGCCACCGCCTGCGCGCGACGACCGAGTATCCCAAAGCAGTACCTGCCCTGAGTACGAACCGCCAACAATGAGATTAGGGTGGAATGGAGAGAATTTGGCGGCTAAAATGTCGGAGGTAGAATGAAAGACATACTCCGGTCGGGAGTGAAGGTGTTGGTTCCAGATCTGGACGAGACCATCGGGCTCATGAGGGGCAGAAGGGTTCTTGGTGTATGCAGCCAGAACAAGTTCGGGGAACTGTGGGGGGTGTCAGATCTCAATGCGAAGCTCATGATGGCTCTTAGAGCGACAAACCTTTGGCGAAAAGCTTAGATCACTGATCATTCGCTTCTTGCTCCATCGCTCGTCCCAGAACTGGCAGACCTCCCTAATCCCGCGCCGTTTCCGTCCATGTTCATCGTCGTCTTCTAGTTCACCATCCACGCCTCCAAGCTCGTAGTCTGCTAGCACGTCGTATTCCTCGTCCAGTGCCCGCTCAATGACTTTAGCTGATCGCTCAACGAAATCCAGAAAGTCCTCGGAGGACGTGACAGCCTTTAATTCGTCATCATCTAATGTACGGAGCGGGTAACGCATATTTGAGGCCTCGGCGCTGGCTTCATTGTCAGCGTGCTGCTGAGTGGCCTGCAGCTCCTCCTCGATCTCTTTTCGGAGCTTCCTCCGGATCTCTTCGTCGCGTTCGCTATCTCTTTTGCTGCCATTGTTTTCTTCATCATCTGACTCTGTGGTGCCGGACGGTTTCAACTCCTCTGTCTGGACTCCTTTACTGTATGTGACAACTTCGGGTTTGGGCTCAGGGGCGGGCTGCGGCTCAGGAGCCGCGACAAACGGCTCCGTTCCGACCGTTTGAACAGCAATTGACTGTGAGAGTGGTCGCGTAGTTGGACTGAACGCTTCCGTGTTGTCGCCACTGAGCTGGCTAGCACTCAGCACCGAGTTAGGCCTACTTCCTTTCCGTGACAGGCCATCGGCTCCGTGGCTGATGGAAGCCGACCCCGGGCGGTCAACTAAACGTGAGATAAGATCATCGAGCTCAGCTCGACTATCTGCGCGGCTGGGGGCAGGGGAGACGACCTAGAAAGACAAGTAGACTTGAGCGCTGGCCCTTTTCCAAGCGACATGGGAGACCATGAGTGAGGGGGAAAGGGTCTCTCTACCTCAGAAGCATCGCCGGTGTTAGCTCGGGTTTGCGAGAATTCCTTCTGCCGCAGCTCTCTCTGCCGCTTCAGTTCGGCGAGTTTGGCTCTCTTGGCAAGGATCTCGGCCTTGCGCTGTTGCATAGCCGAGGACATGATGGGAAGGAGGGGGGAGGGTTAGAGGAAGGTGAATCCCTCCAGACCACGATTCGGCTGGCTTTAGACTCGGGGACGAAGTAAATAAGGGAAAGGCGGCGTTCGTTCGCGTTCCCTTGGGACTTCCCCGTGTCTGTCCCGCGCCCAGGGAAACCCGGGTTGGTGATGACATAAGCGCCAGAGGGCCCTACGGTCCGGAAAAACTCGCGACAGGAACTTCGTCTTTACCCAGCTCTCTGAGTATCCTGTCCGATTGCCAGCCATTGACAGTCGATCCCTTCATAACGGTCGCTCGGAATCCGGCCTTGCTATCTCTCGTCTCACTGATCTGTTCCATTGCCGCTCCGGAGGCCAGGGTTCTCATAAGATGGCTACCACACAGGGTGTCAACGTGAGTGTCATCAGTATCCGCCCTGGACCCATTGTGATGATACAGGACCCTCGAGGTTAACCCGCTCCCTTCGCCCATCCAGGTTCTGCGCTATTCGGCCCTCGTTGCCGGTCTCGTCTATGGTTTCTACCACCAGTCTTCGATCACCGCCACTGCTAAGCACGCCGAGGCCGAACGTGAATATGCCCGCCAGGAGCGCCTGATCGAGCAGGCCAAGGCAGAGTGGAAGAAGAAGACGGCGCCCAAGGACACGCAAAACAGCGGAGGTACGTCTTGGAGCTAGCCCTTATTCTGAATCCCCTTTCCCAGTGCCGAATTGCTGTCCCCATTGATAAACCCCCAGCGGCATGTACCGGACCCCAAAATGCTAACTAGGGAACGTGCACAGTCATTACGGATCCCGAGGACAGCCGGTTTGACCTTGAGGCTTTCCTGAAGATGAAGGCTGGCGAGAACTAGAATGGAATCGAAGTATACGGCACGCAGATGAAGTTGCAGTTATCTCTCTAAGAGCCGTACCTCTTGAAGGTATGGGCGAGAGATCTCGGGTCGGCCCCGATTATGTATTATTGTTTGGTCTAATTTCCCAGAGTCGTGTCATTGCGAGCGAAAGGAATGATTTTTCTTTTTCCACTATAGACATCATCCCCGCATCTTGTACATACCCTGGGCTGTTGTGCGTCTGTATCACTACAGTTGGACCAGAAGAGCAAGAGATTCTGTATGCTTCGGTTTCATTGCTGATCTCCTTCTCGTACTGAGTGCGCTTGCGCAATATTATGCCCATTGTCCGTGGGGCTGTTCTATGATATGCTCCGTGACGCCGTCAGGTCGTTACATGCGGACTCGGGATGTTGCGCTCTAGATCTGTAGTCATCCGATGTCTCCGTCATGTCCCGCCTGTTACTGTAGGATAGACGAATTGCAAGGTAGCCCCTGGCTTGCAAACTCCAAGATACGCTTAACTCCGGCGATTTCCGATCAGCGCCATGACCTCACTTAGTTCATTGTACAGTCGAACATCTTTCTTAGGGACTTCATCGACGATCGGTTTCGGGTGCAACAGCCCTTTCTCCTGATCCCAGGTCCATCCATACGCTATGAACTTTTGCATGATGGCCGGATCGCCCTGTTGTGCAGCCGCAGGATCAAGGCCGAGATAGGTTGCAGCGGCTGCTGGCCTTATCGCCTCGTAGGCTCTGCTGACTTCCTTTAACGTCTTTTCCTGGAAATGAGCTAAATAGAGTCAGCAAGTGAATGACGTAGCAAAAGGCAAGGCATATTCGAGAAAATGGTTCGCCTTACATTCATAACTTTGGACTATGGGTTGGAGTGCTTCTGGCCACGGCAGTTCTCGCAGGATCTTGTAAACTTGCTCATATTTCCGTTGCCAAACGGCTCGGAGAAGCGTCAAACAATTCTGTAGCGACGAGTCATTTTGTAATAATTCTTGTGGCATGCGTTGTGTCGTTAGGCGAGCTTCGATGCTGAATAACTTGCGGATTAGCGATTTGCCAACTTGTGGGGATAGCCGGGGAATAGCTTACGTTTTGTCTAAGAGAAGGTTGGAGAAGAAGTATGTAGAGTAGTAAAGACTTAGTAGTTCTGCATGTTTGCCCTTTTGCATGGAGAGCAGACAAGCCTGGCTTTCATAGTCTGATAGTGTTTCGTAGAGCTCCGTCGGCGTTTTAGCAGAGGCAACGACGGCGGTCAGTTGCTCTTGTGAGAGTGGGGGAAGATCCATGGTGAGGAGCCAGTTGAGCGGTCGCGAGAGTTTGGGGTGCTTGGTTTTATTAAGTCTTCTTGAAACAAACAAGGTGTAACTATTTGGATGATCGACTGATGGCCGACTTAACTTGAGCTGGTACTAAGCACTGACGGTGCGGGGACGTTTCGGAGGAAAACCCCCCAAACCCGCAACGGAAAGGGAACTAGTAACAAATACTAACAAAGTATTGTGGTTGACTTGGGTGACTTACGTACCTGGCGCCAAGCCCCAGAAGAGACCACCTTGCGAAGCTCTCGACACTCTTCAATTCATTCCCCCGTTCACGACACCTCCCAACCCTTCCCTCTCATCAGCTCCCGGGACAGGTCGAGGGCTGTTTGCTCATCTTCTTTCCCATTGGATCTTGATTCTTTTCTCCCCTGGCCATTATGGCCGAATCACCCCTCGATGTCCTCTTGAAGGGTAACTCCGGCAGAACAACACGCGGCCTTCTGCGGATTATCATTCTAGCTACCATTGCCGCTGCTGCTGTGTCCAGTCGTCTGTTCAGTGTGATCCGTATGTCTCTTAACTTATATGATCGGGTCAATTGAATTATCGTTACTGACAGTTGCCCTCTAGGATTCGAGAGTATTATCCACGAGTGTATGTTTTGATACCGATCCTCCCGTCTATACCTTCAAGCTACCGCGGATTCGGCATTCGACACCGTGTGCAGCCAACTTCACTTCCAAAACCAATCAATGCTAATGTAGCTCACTCCTACAGTCGACCCCTGGTTCAACTTCCGCGCAACAAAATACCTGGTCTCCCATGGCTTTGAGAGCTTCTGGGACTGGTTCGACGACCGTACGTTCCTCTTGCCAAGCCTGCCTTAACCTACATATACTGATCTAAGATGCTGCTCAGGAACATGGCACCCTCTGGGACGTGTCACTGGTGGCACGCTATACCCCGGTCTCATGGTGACCAGCGGTGTTATTTACCACGTCTTGCGGTTCCTCACTATCCCTGTCGACATCCGTAACATCTGTGTCTTGCTTGCCCCGGGTTTCTCCGGTTTGACCGCGCTGGCAATGTACTTCCTGACTCGCGAGATGGCGACATCCCCCTCCGCTGGTCTCCTCGCGGCTGCTTTCATGGGTATCGTCCCTGGATACATCTCTCGTTCCGTCGCAGGCAGCTACGATAACGAGGCCATCGCCATTTTCCTGCTGGTATTCACCTTCTTCCTGTGGATCAAGGCTGTTAAGAATGGCTCCATCATGTGGGGTTCTCTGGCGGCCTTGTTCTACGGCTACATGGTGTCTGCCTGGGGTGGTTATGTCTTCATCACTAACTTGATCCCTCTGCACGTTTTCGTTCTTCTGTGCATGGGCAGATACAGCTCGCGTATCTATATCAGTTATACCACTTGGTATGCTCTGGGAACTCTGGCCAGTATGCAGATTCCTTTCGTCGGATTCCTGCCGATTCGCAACAGTGACCACATGTCCGCACTTGGTATGTACTCTCATTAACCGTAGTGAAGAGCGTTTGTACTGACCTTGCCAGGTGTCTTCGGCCTCATTCAGCTCGTGGCCTTTGCTGACTTCGTCCGGGGTTTCATTCCGGGCAGGCACTTCCAGAGACTTCTGACCACCATGATCATCGTCGTATTTGGCATCGCTTTCGTCGGACTCGTCGTCCTCACCGTGTCCGGAGTGATCGCCCCTTGGAGTGGTCGTTTCTACTCTCTGTGGGATACCGGCTATGCCAAGATCCACATCCCTATCATTGCGTCCGTCTCCGAGCACCAGCCCACTGCTTGGCCCGCCTTCTTCTTTGACCTGAACTTCTTGATCTGGCTCTTCCCTGCCGGTGTCTACATGTGCTTCCGGGATCTCAAGGATGAGCACGTTTTTGTCATCATCTACTCGGTGCTTGCCAGTTACTTCGCAGGTGTCATGGTTCGTCTGATGTTGACTTTGACCCCTATTGTTTGTGTTGCGGCTGCTCTGGCCCTCTCCACCATCCTCGACACGTATGTGTTCGCAAAGAATGGCCCCAACCCCCGCGCCAAGGCGAACGACGACACCTCGGACGGTCTTCGTTCCACCAGGAAGCCCGATGTTGGTGTCACGTCCTACCTGTCCAAGGCTGTTATGACTTCCTCCGTTGTCATCTATCTTCTTCTCTTCGTTGCGCACTGCACCTGGGTCACCTCGAACGCATACTCCTCCCCGTCTGTGGTTCTCGCAAGCCGCTTGCCTGATGGAAGCCAGCACATCATCGACGACTACCGTGAGGCGTACTACTGGCTTCGTCAGAACACCGAGCACAACGCCAAGATCATGTCCTGGTGGGATTACGGCTACCAGATTGGTGGTATGGCGGACCGCCCTACCCTGGTTGACAACAACACGTGGAACAACACCCACATTGCCACTGTCGGTAAGGCGATGAGCTCTCGTGAGGAAGTCAGTTACCCCATCCTCCGTCAGCACGATGTTGATTACGTGCTGGTGGTGTTTGGTGGATTGCTGGGCTACTCCGGTGACGACATCAACAAGTTCCTGTGGATGGTCCGTATCGCTGAAGGTATCTGGCCCGACGAGGTCAAGGAGCGTGACTTCTTCACTGCCCGGGGTGAATACCGGGTTGATGACGGAGCCACCCCGACTATGCGTAACAGCTTGATGTAAGATTTACCCCTGCTTGCCATGGCAGTGATATGATACTAACAGCGACCCAGGTACAAAATGTCCTACTACAACTTCAACTCGTTGTTCGGTCCCGGCCAGGCCGTTGACCGCGTGCGTGGATCGAGACTCCCCGCGGAAGGCCCTCAGCTGAACACGCTCGAGGAGGCATTCACCAGTGAGAACTGGATCATCCGCATCTACAAGGTCAAGGATCTCGACAACCTTGGCCGTGACCACAACAACGCGGTGGCCTTTGACAAGGGCCACAAGCGCAAGCGCGCTACCAAGCGCAAGGGCCCTCGTGTCCTGCGGACCGAGTAAAGGTCCAGGTGTCGTTGATAGATACCAGGTTGGGTGTAAAATTGATCCCTTCTTCTTCTTCATTTCTTAGCATGTCATTTTCAATTCCATGTTCTTGTACGTGTCATCACCATATAGGCGGAATCATAGAAGTTGTCCATCTGGTTAGAGGCTGTAGACTGTACATTTTACCCCAAGCACCAAATATGAACCTTGAGTGAAAATGATGGTGCATCGAACACGGATATCCTTCGAATAATATACAGATGAAAAGTAAGAAGCGAGCAGAGATTTCCACTAGGCCAGCAACACCATTCATTTACACACATCCACCTCTTCCCTTCCGTAGCATCCCAACCATCCACCACAATCAGCCTACCACCACTTGCGCACCCAAACCCAGCACAAATCCAACACAGAAAGATAAATATACAGTAGATTCATAGTATTCAACCTAACTCCAATCCCAATACACCATTATCAATCCATGCACAGCTCAATCAGCATATGATGAAACCGGAGGTAAAGAAACAACAGTATTTCGCAAACGCAATATCCAATCAATCGATCGAGTCAAAGTAAAGCAATCATTGCTTCTTAGCCGGCTCATCGGGAACCTTCACGTCCGAGAACTCATCCTGTCCGACGGCGCGGATGGTGTAGGCGTCTATGCAACCACGGAGAGACAACGTTAGCTATAATCTTTCCTTGAATGGGTCCGGAGACTATCATGAGGTATGATTGCGCATGCGCGCATCCACAACAAGAAGCAGCAACAGTGCTGGATAGAAGGTCTGGACGTACAAACACTAATGGTAAAAGACACCAAGGCAAGACCCGTCAAGGCATTCTTGAATAGATACGGGCGACGGGCACGGAGAAGGGCCGCTCCGGCGCGGTAGTCTTTGCCGTAGTAGGTGGAGTTGAAGCTGTGATTTTATCGAGGTGTGAGTCAATGTCTTTGGGGGTTTATCTTGCGATGGATGGGATGGGGGTGATCGGGGTAGTTAGGTAGTAGTGGGGGGGGATGAGTCGAATGGATCTGTCTGGGATAGGGTGTGATAGCAATGGAAGGGATATGGGGACGTACATTCCGGCAGGCATTGTGGAGAGGTTGAGTCTGTGCTGACTGATTGAGGTTTTTGGAGATGAGGGTTCTGGAGAGGGCCGTTTTTTCTTTCGGAGGTGAACGGGGAATTCGGAGAGGATCGATTTGACGCCTTCATTGGGGGGGGGATTCGGCCCGGGCTTGGCGGGCCTAAGGTGGCTGGCCGAGGCGGAGCCGCGGGGATTATTTATCTACTTGTTTACTCTATACTGGTTCATGGTGCAGGATGTACTCGTGTATATCTTTTTCAGGATGAATTTCTCTCATTTTAAATGCAGTAGATTGTTTCATTGATGCTCAATTGGATCAGCATCTACTCGGAATCGCTCTGGGTTGCAGTAGTATCCACTATCTATATATATACTCCTCCTCCTACTATTACTACTGAAAGTACTTCCATCACGTCCAACAACATAAACAATACTAAGTAATAGTCTGGGTTGGGGTTTCATCTGTGTGCTTTTCATTTTTCCACCGTCTTGTTGCGTGTAACATGTTATATATCTCCTGCCTCATAATCCATCTTTTGTCTTTCTTAAATCACAGCATCGCGCAATGGCTGTATACTCTGCTACATAGAAGAAGATATCGTGATGGCATTCATCAGCACTGTCTATTCCTGTTCTACTGTTGTGGTTACGATAATCTGCTGCTGACTTTCGTTATCGCAACTTTCAAGATCGACTTTACCCTTCCTCTTAGATTTATGGGCCCAATGACTCCGTTCGCTGAGATGATATCCGCTATGATCAGGGCCATTTCTCCAATCTCGGCCCGGATCGGTGCTCTTTCTGCTGCTGTTCAGTCCCGGAATGTTTCTAAGCAGAACCCGCAGGGAAGGTAAAGAGCCGGTAATTAGGCCGAGCGCATATTCGACATTCATCAATATGAGTGGAACCGCGCCGACGTCTATGATGTGTGGATTAGTAGAGCAAGTTTGTAGCAAGGGAAAGAAGAGACGTCATACATGTATAGTCGGTCGAATTGACTTGGAAATCCAATAGCGGAATGCGTGCCAGACCGGCACTGCAGGCCACGAATCCTTCGATCAATTAGTCTAGAATGTTCAGGAAAAGGAAACTGACAACTATGCAAACATACCAAGACAAAATAATCCAATAATGAATAGACGGCGCTGAACAGGCATTTGGAGCTTCCAGATCGTTGGCATTGGAAGAGTGATGATGCTCACATCGAACAATAACATCAGTATTGCCTGATACAGCTGGAGGTCCTCTAACACGGCATTTGAAAAGCACTTCGAGTTTGGGATGGTCGAGTCCCACGCTGCCTGCACTGGCCAGCACTGGAAGATCAAGGTTAATTCCCCCGAAACGGTGACGATGGCCATGAGCACCATGATTCCCAGTCCAATCCGCCGGATCCATTTGGTCGGAAAAACGCGCATGATGAAAACAGTAAGGCTACATTTGACAGCCAAGGCCACCCAGAGATATAGGCAGAACAAGATATAGACGTACTACAACGGTGAGCCAGAGGAAATCAAATGGCAGAAAAGGCACTAACCTTCTCCATCATGATCATATCTGCAGTAGGAACAGTCTCCTGATGGTAGCCAATTCCATACGTTGTGAGAATGATAGAGAGGGCTGCGAACACAAGGACCATGCACTGCTCAGTGCGGTTAAGAGTGCGTTCATTTTCATCCCCCATAGAAAATCGTACATACCAAGGCAAGAAGAACAAGACAGTCATCCAGGCCGAATGCATGCGTGATGAAACCTCGAAGATAGAGCTAGGGAGACGCAGGTCGATCAGCTCGTGTATGCTGTCATTGTAGAAAGGTTAACATACTCTGAGACAGCAAACGATCAGAGCGAGAAGACCGAATGCACCAATCACTCCCTCACTGTATATACCATTGGAGGCGCCGGATCAGGAAGATGCATCGGAACGCCACATGTACCGGCCATTATTTGTCAGTCGCTCTGGTGACTTCCTAGCCCGTGGTCTGATTTCCTCATTCCAAGCTGATTCAAATGAACATAGCAGCAGTAAGGCGATGCCCGCAAGCAAACAGCGCGACAGCAGACCCCTGACCGGTGTCCCTGTCAAGTGAATTCCACACATCGCGACATTTCAACTTCTGAAATAAGTATGGCATGTAGTTGCAGGGATCCGCTTCCAATGCGGCCCACTGCAGGGTAGATGTCCTGTTAAAAGACATAATGTAAGTGCATATAAATGATTGAACAGGGAAGTTGATCCTGATAGTGCCCAAGTGGGCCAGTGATGTGCCACTCTGTTGCCTTTGAGACGAACATGAGCCGTCATTCGATTCTGGGCTGTCATAGTGGCCCACTTGGCGGATGAACGGGCCGGTGAGTGACCGTTGGTTGCGGAGGCTGCCACGGCCAAGATGGTGTCAATGCCTCGCTTCATGACATAGAAAGACAACTTACACAGTAAAGGTAAGCCATCGATGACCATGATCACAGCGTACCGTTGCGAGCATGGCCGCTGGTCTTGGTCAATGCATCCGCATCAGCTGGCTCAGCCCTGACTGGCTCGAGCCTGATGACATCTTTCAATTTACTGGGAGGCGCAAGCGATGTATGCGACGGCGTCAGACTAGTAAGGAATCCTGGTTACACTATTTCTTTGTTAGCTGGACTATTAATTTCGGGATTGAACGGCTGTCGTGGGTTGCTTTAAAGGAGGCTAAGGAGGGATGGGACGATTGCAACCTGTCAAGGACATGGTTTGCATAGAAGATCTTGTCTAAACGGTGGAATCATCACCTCGTTGACCATCATCGAACTCCGTGACTGTATTATTCCACCTGGCTCCTCCTCAAATATACCTTCCAGCATGTCGAATAGTCCTGGTCTGCTGGCTTTAAGCCCACTTGACCACATCCCAGCGAAGCTCTTCCTGCCGTACATCCTGTACTTCGACACGGTTGACACGCAAACAGCCCTATTCACCCTCCAGAAAGGCATTGACAAGTTGATTTCAGAATTGCCCTGGCTTGCCGGAGATGTGATTCTTCACACCGCGCCAGAAGGGCCCAAGAACCGAATGCATATTGCGCCCCCATGTATCCCTCTTTCTGAAGTCCCTATGCTGAAGGTCAAGCACTTTGACGGCGATAAAGATTCTAGCTCACAACCCATTCAATCCTTCCTCCCTCTGCCTACATTTATTCCAGCCTCCCAACAGCGTCCCGTTCTTCGCTTTCAGGCAAATGTCTTTCCTGGCAGGATTATTGTGGCCATGTCCTTCTGGCACAGCGTCTTTGATGGTACCGGGGCCGGTGTTATCCTTGAAGCAGTCGCCGAGTGTTGCAAGTCAACCAGCGAAGATCTTACAACCAGCCTCGTGCAGACTATCGCGAAGACCCATGCTGAACTCCGGAAGAAAGTCTCGAACTTTCCATCTGAATGTGTGACGCGCCTCGACCACAGCGTTGAGTTGGGAACACCTGTTTTTGATCCCAACATTTCCACCGAGCAGTGGAACGCAATGGAATCTGCCTTGGCCTCCACGGTCGAGACAAAGCGATACACCTTCAGCCCCGAGAAAGTCGCCAAGGTGAAGGATATTTGTACCCAACTCATGCCGCAGTTGCGGTCCTCGGAGTGGATTTCTAGCAACGATGTTATTACCGCAACACTGGCCATCTGCGTCGACCGAGCCCTTCACCCAGAGCGGGCAGACAAAACCCAAAGCGCCGATTTCCTGATGGCCGTCGATTTGCGAAACCGAGTTGATCCTCCACTACCAGAGACCTACCTTGGGAACTCGATCTTCCCTGTCCACGACGATATCTATTCTGAAGCAATGGCAGGTCAGACAGGGGATGGTGCAGACACCCTACACCTAGCGCAGTTGGCACTGCGTATCCGCACCAAGCTTACATCAATGGACAAGACTCTCATGTATAGTGCATCAGCCGCCGTCGCCGACTATGAAGACTGGACCAAAGTCGAAGCAGGACCCGCGGGGATTATCGTAACCAGCTGGAGAGGTCTCAAGGTCTTTTCGCTAGATTTTGGCGCCGGACTGGGCCACATTGTAGACTTCGAGCCCGGGCTAACGCTTGTCCCTGGTGGGTGTATCTTTCTGCCGTCGCGGACGTCCTTGGAGAAGAGTGGGTCGATTCCGATGTGGGAAGTATGCATCACCCTGAAAGCCGGGGATTCCCAAGTGCTGGAGAAGGATCCACTGTTTAACCGGATTTTGGCATGATATATGTTGGAGAGTGGATTATGGGTGTATGAAGTGTACTACGTGACTTTTGATGACTGAATTTTTTGTTGACCCTACTAGCAATGTTTCTGAATTATATGCCGAATACGGGGCACTGTAGACAGTGTCAGCAATGCTGCTTAGTATATCCACATGGTGCTATTCCCATCTTATACCGGACCCGTGGGTTGTGCTCCAGGCCATTTTAGTGCCGGCCGATCATCAATAGGTCTAGGGTAGAATCCCTGACACTCGTGCATAGTGAGCATTCATACTATAGACGTGCGAACTCCATTTGCCTTTATCAATGGCAGATAAGACACATAAGGCTTGAGCCTTTCCCGGATGGGGATGATGGTGTAATGGGTAGGATGCCATAGACATGAAATGACTATAACGGACAGGATAAACAAGTGACGGTGGATGCCGCGAGACAGCCTCACGTGACCATTGTGTCAAGCGCCGGCCAGATTCCTGCTTCGGCTGCCGTCCATCCATTCATTCAGCTTGACTTCCTCCAACCAGCAACCACCCATTATCCTCCTCCTTTCTCTCTTCCTCCCTTGGGTTTCTCGATTGCTATTATATATTGTATCTCCAATCTCCTCGGTTTAACCCGAGTCATCGTTGCCTTCCTCCCCTATTTACCAGTCATCGGTACTCACCTCTACGCTGTATGCGCCGCGTCGGCAGATTATCTAGTCGCATTCTAAGCCCGGTGCTTGCACCGTGAATGTCCCTCTCCCCTGCGTAGACAAACTCAACCAGTTCCCTTCTGCCTTGCAAACCTGATCTCTCAAACCTCGTCTTTCCTTCCATTTGGCCGGCTCAGTCGGCCATTGAACCAGTCGTAATGGCTCAGTCGACCGACCACCTCGTCGATCAGATCGCCCAGCTGAACGCCGCCCGAAACCTCGTCCTTGGCGATGCTGCCTTCTACCCACAGATCGTGAACGGTGTCCTTCCGTTAATTGGCGCAAATACACGCCTGGAGTTGCGACAATGGGGAGCGGAGTTCCTGGCTGAGACGTTTGCCAGTCCCGCGTTGGCATCGGCTCAGAAGGAACAGTTGGCCCCGAAAGTGCTGCAGACATTACGGGAGATATTGGAATTGCCGGAAAGAGATCCCATGGTTTTGAAACATATAGTGCAGAATGCGGCCAGTTTGTATCCGCTGGTGTTTAGGCATATGTAGGTGACTGATGCTTGCTTCTGTTTCGCCCCCCTCGGGAGAGCTCTCGTAGATTGCTGCATGGCGCTGCAATGTGAATTAGAGCATCCACTGGGCTTTGCAGTGTACTAACGCTTGACCTTGCAGTATCAATCACCCCGCAGAGGCAACCGCTTGGGAAAACATGACAGCCATTAAACAGGACATTTTACGCCGATGGGACTCCTTCCCTTTCCCCGTCAAGATCTGCTGTATCAAGTTCGTGCAGCGAGTCGTCCACGTGCAGACGCATGGTCCCATCGCTGACCCTAGAGTATGTCCCACTGAGATCTTACGTATTCCGCTGAGATTAACGTCGTTTTCCTAGCGACCCGACCAGAATGAGACGTCCTTGGCCATTGTGCCCCGAAACCATGCTATTTTGTCTCTTCCAAATTTGGAAGCAGAGGCCTCCGGGTTACTGGATCGACTTCTATCTGTCTTCCAAGAAGAATCAAGGTATTTAAGGCCCCATTGCCGTTTGCATACATCAATCTTAGATGTCGCTAATACCCTCAAAGTGATCCCCTTCTTGTCAATGCGACATTGAACTGCCTGGCCGTCCTCATCCGAACCCGACAGTCCGTGGGTAACAAGATCATCAACGCGATCATGAACTTCTACCCTGCGAGACAAGTGCGCGCTCCCATAACCCCCTCGGTCCGAGTCAGTGTGAAGTCGATGGAACGGACCGCCAGAGCGGTGATGATCAATATACTCAAGAGGTGAGACGATATGGCGGCACGGGACGGGATGCATTGCTGATGGATATACTCAGGAACCCTAACCACCCCCTGGCGGGCAAGATGCAGCAATATATCGACCGATTGATGCAATCGCGTATAGAAGTCGCCGACGAAGCCTCGCGGAAGCGCGGTTTGCCTTCTGAGCCAACAGACGGGCTAGACAACACTAAACGGGCGAAACTCGACGCTGAAACGCCCGCACTGATCAAGATTCCGCCCTTGCCACCAGGCCCGATTAGCTATTCACAGCTCTTCACACTCACTGAAGACAGGGAGCTGTCGAACTTTGACGTGAAGCAATTGCCTACCGATATTGTACTCAAGATTGTTGTTCCTCTCCTAGGTCGGGTCGATCAGTCGATGATGCAGCAGTCCATCGAGGTATGCTGAATTTAGAACAGGGGAGAAACATCAGTGCTAACGAAGCCTTAGGCGATTCGTATGCGATATCAAACAATCCAGAAGCAGCAGGCTGCACAGCCTCCAGCGGCGACAGCGGAGGCGGAGGATGACGACGACTATGAACCCGAGTACCAGCCCATGGACATTCCCGAACCGGCAGCCGAGCAAGCGGAAGCCGTGTCCGCTGAAGTGGCCGACCTCCAACCGGATCTAGTGTCTCTAGGCCCTTTTGTCTTACCCCAGCCGCCGCCTCTGACAGAAGATGAAGCCGCAGACATTGGTCGAAGTGCTGTCGGGAGAGTGTTTGGCATGTTGACGTCTACCGGAGTTGCCCCTAACCCAGCCAAAGGGAAGAGTCAACAACAACTCGGCTTTGCTCGCCTGGCTGGAAGCACTTTCGACCGTGACGCCTGGGTGACCCTGCTCACCAGACTTGCCACTCGAGCCCCAGCTGGTCTGGAACCGGGAGGCGGCAAAGTCGAGAAGGGAAAGGCCCCAATATCGGACTCCATCCGAGAAACCCTTTACCGATATATCCTAGAGGACTTTCGCGGTCGCGTGAACATTGGCATCATGTGGCTTAATGAGGAATGGTACAACGACCGGATGCAAATGGAGTTCACTGCGCAGCAACGGCGCGGAGAGGACGAGGAGGTAACAGTCCCGTTACACTACGATCACTGGGTCCTGCGACTCCTGGATGGGTTCCTCCCGTACCTGGACTCTCGAGACACGAAGATTTTCATCCGCTTCCTCAGTGAGATACCCGAAGTGACGATCCCAATCACCAAGCGAGTGGCCAGTTTGGCAAAGGATCCAGAACGCGTGAATCTATGCATTCAATCTCTACTGTACGTTCAAAACCCACCCAGAAGAAAGGAAACCTCATACATCAAGAAGCTAACAACATTCCCAGATATCTGATAATGTTTCGGCCCCCCGCACGGGAGATGTGTCTCAACGCCCTCGAGGACGTCTACGATACCTGTATGTTGCATTCTTCCCCCGCACAGACTACCCCGACGCTAACCATCCTACCCCACACTTTAGACGAAGAATCCCGTCCCTTGGCCGGTAAATTACTCGCCAAATGGCGTCCCAAGAAGACCGAAGGACAGCAACAGCAAGAACAAGAAGGGCAACAAACACCATCTCAGACTCCTCAATCTCAGCAGCAGCAACAGCAGCAGCAAACCATCCTCGCATCCCGTCCCATCACATCATCAGAGTCCAATACCCCCCTCACCAACGGCACGGAAGAATCGAACCCCACTCCCCCGCCGCCACAACAGCCACAACAACAACCAGATGCCACCCCGGCCACCACCTGAGCAAGAAGAGGAAGAGTCTGTAACCAATACACTTCCACGCATCTAAAGAAATACCTACTGTGCTTTGTATTACTTTGTAACTGCAACAGACACAATCAAAGAGAGACTACATACATACAAGCATATCTATCAATACCTCTGTCACATGATTCCCCCTTTTGCTGATCGCGTCACTCGCATAGACTAAATAGTCGATCACTTTATTGAAATGAATGTATCGGGTATTATCTGTCAAATTAGAACTGCGTCTTCCCAATAGTAGTTCTATTCTAGTACAGTAGTAGTAGTTATCTTATCTGGATGTGGGGGATACTACCCAGTAATTCGAAATAGCGGGGCTTATCTATCTATTCATCTAAGTAAGTTTCAATCTATACCAAGGTAGTATTGGATTTAATACATGCTTATGTAGCTTGGGAATTAATTCCGCTCGGGTATGTTGATCCGGTACTTGTGGCTTGTGGCTTGGTAAAGATACTTGGTGAGATACGGATGTGACTAAGGAATTAGAGTACGCCCACCCCGTGTATGGTGAATGACACGAAGACGGATTTTATGGAAGATTTTTGATAGAGGTACTGGTCATCGAAGAGAGTTTCTATTCTAATAAACCTCCTATGCACGGCTTTCCGTGGTAATAAAGAAAAAGAACACACATATCCCAGAAACGCCAAGAGAGCAAAAGGACGTGACATAACACCGTGGGCATATGTAGTATGTATCATGAACAGCAAGGATAAAGAGAAGAAGAGAAGACGGTAATTGTTTGAAAGAAATCAAAAAGAAAACCCCCAGCAAAAGTATTAGCTATCAGCCGATGCATCCGTTCGCCCATATTCACACATTGCCCCAAAGCAGTTCCTCATCAAAAAAATAGCGAGGTAAGAGGAACCCGCAGAAATTGCAGAATAGATAGATCACTTGAATTCGTCCCTGTTGGTGCCAGTCATACATGCCAAATCCGTACATACATTAGAAACACTCTACAACACCTTAAAGCGAAGCCCTGTACAATGAGCTATGGAGAATATCCACACCTCAGAAGAGAAGATGGTAGATGGTGAGTTTGCTGTTGCGTGATAGAATTTTATTATCGCGCTGCCATCTGATTCGACCCAGGGCCAAGGATCCCCGTTGACTGATGAATGGAGTTGACCGGTCGAGATGAAAGTGGCGGCGAGGAGTCACGTTTTACGGTAGCCGATTGGAACAAACCGAGTCGGGCCGAAGGTGGTGAATAGGCGGCGGCATTTTGAGAGGTTCCTTGGGGAGAGCGGCGACCGAGCGTTGTATTATACGAGGCGGGATGTGGTTTGCGTACATCGAGGGGAGAGGAACTTATTGATCGGAACCCGGATCTCCTCTCTGCCTCGTAGTCGGGGTTAGCAAAGGGTCCGGGATTTTGAGGATGTTGTTCTTGGTCGTAGGGGGTGTTGTTGGCTGAGGAGTTTTCGGCGATTGTGGAGGCAGACCCGTTGGGTGCGTGTATGTCGACTACTCGCTTTTGTGCGGCAGGTGTCGTGAACACAGGAGCCCGGGGATTCTCGAAGACACGACTCTGCGGTCGCTGTGGCAGCTGCTGGTGCTGATGTATGGGATGCTGCGGATTGGCCCATGGTGTCTGCTCTAAGAAAGCTTCTTCTGCAGCTGTGCGGTAGACGTTCGATGACATGGCCGGCATGGCACCCCTCGGGAGCGTGGACTGAGACTGTGATGTGGGGACTCGGGGTTCAATGGAGATCTGCGTGTCATGTTAGACTGGACGTTCATCGGTTGGCAATGCCTCATGATTTGATTGGACTTACACCCATCTTTTCCAGATCCTCATCAAGCTCCGATGGCCGTGCAGCAGACAGCGCAGGTGCAGCTGGAAAGCCGACATATTTGGCAACTCCTGCCATGACAGAGACCTCTTGATTGTATGCGGTTTGATGGGCAATCTGCTGTGACCGGCGGGTGGGGAATGGAATGTAATGTTGCGGGCTAATTTCGTCCGTCTTGAAGCGATCGTGCTGAATGGAGTAAAACTGCTTGCTGATCGCACTTGAATGCTTTTCGCGAATATCTCGCGTCCGCTGGAAAAAGGTGCTATGCGCTTGAGCACGTTCAGCCAGGCTCTTGTTCAACAAGGCTTTCATCCTGTACTGAAAGAGTGTTTGTTCGTATTTAATCTTCGTATCGCGATACCGCCCGATGCATTCAAGCTGCCGCAGGTATTCAGGATGCGTTGGATTCTTTGCGTCGAGCATCTCCAGCTCCCGGTTCAATTTCGAGATCCTCTCGTCATAGATCCTAGCAGCGATGTGGTTAGCAATCTGACTTATAACGCACAAAGATGCATGGGTTCATACTTGTCTCGTAGGGTCGCAAACTCCCGTTCTAATACGGCGAGTGAATCCATCGCAGATATCCTCTTGGCTGCTAGGTGCGGAGATCAGTATCGGATCGCTGGAGCCGGTATTTCTGGGGCAACTTACACTCTTCCTCAAGTTTGGCGGCAGCAGCTTCACCATCATCCGCATCTTCACCACGTTCCGCGACATCGTCATCGCCAACGTCATCAGCCTCTGCGCCAGTCTCAAGCGCGCCGTTATCGGCTTCGTCGTCAACATCTCTTGTTTTCCGACCTTTCCGCTTGCCCTTCTTAGCTCTCTTACCTTTAGCAGGTACCGCAGGCAAGGTCGACTCGGGGACGTCGTCGGTTGCGATGTCTTCCTCGACAAGCTTGGGGGGTTCGTCCATTGGTTCGGGGGTGAGTACGATATCATCCGGGGGAGGGTCGCTCAGATCACTCTTGACTGAGCCACGGCGCTTCTGGGGCGGCAAATCTTCTTCGTCATTTTCCATACCCCCCTCGTCACCGGACTCTAGCCGCTTGCGCTTCTTGCCAGTGCTTTCTGAAAGCGCTGAGTCCTCGAGCCCGGGTGTATCATCGGCCACTTCAGCGGTGCGGGTAGTTTTGGCACGAGGCTTACTGGGCGAATCGTCCGCCACGTGCTCTTCGTCATCTTCCACATCATCGTAGGTCGTCGACTGAGCCAGCTTGCTTGGACTGGGCTCATAGCCAGTGGCACTCACGACAATATTTGTTTTTGAACGAAAGTTTGGTGAGTCCTCGATGCGCTCCGTCTCCGCTTCTGAATCATTTTCCGGGGCCACTCTATCGGGCTTCGGAGACTCATAGTCGGATGGGATATTTTCAGATACGTCATCAATCTCACTCAAACTGCTAGATCTATCATCACCCATGAATGAGTCGTCCAGAAGGAGGTTCTGTTCGCCATTGGTGACGGCAGAGTCTGCTCCAGCTGGCGCACCCACCGAAACAGGTTCCCTGCTTTCGGCTACCTCCATGGTTATGCGCGAGTGTGAGGTTTATCGATAGGAAGAGGGGAAAGGTCAGAGAGGAAGAATTGAGGACGTTGTGTGTGGAGGTTGTGGTTTGGAGACCTGTGGGGGGTAGGCAGATCCGTGGTTGTCGGTAGGATCAGGGTCGTAAATCTAGTTCAATGGAGAACAAAACGTTAGACAATTTGACAAAAAACATGGTACGGCAAAATAAGGCGATATGAAACTCATTAGCTGGGGAAAAGAGGGAAGAGGAAAATGTCGAGGATGAGAGGGGAGAAAGAGGGTTGCCAAAGGCGGTGCGGAGGTTCTGATCACACCCCAGACGGAGCGAAAGTGACTTTCGCTCCCGGTTTGGGCTCTGGGAACTGCGCCAACCCAACTGCAACGCTCAGGGCGCTGTCTCGAGATCCCAGTGCACTGACAACATCGCGAGTATCTGGCACCAACCAGGTATCCATAAGAAAAGCCTCTAAGAACATACCGTTCAGTAATGCGCCAGCAGCGAAACTCGTAAGACGCAGCTGCCGCGACCGAGTCCGGTTCCCTGAACCACCGCGATCGCGGAGAGAGGATAGGAGCAAGCCAGAAGAACCCGGAAGTATTGACCAAGACGTAGTATGAATGGCACTCGCCAGGATCCGCGCACGCAAGCTCTCGTCGAGAGGAAGTATTGTACGTAGGAGGAGGAGGTGGTGAAAGTCAACGCTCACGAAGCGGGCAAGACGACAGTGCAGCGTAGCGGGAGGATGGGCGGCATGGAAGAGGAGGGTAGACGGTTGGATGAGGAAATTGTTGAAACCAGCAGAAAGCGAGTGAGTAGTGTGGGGAAAAGAGCCTGGAGATAAAGACCACCAAGTCTGAAGCGCTAGGGAAGCGATGGCAGCTTGGAGGTGCGAGGAAAAGAGGAGGAGAGGCGGCGGCGGAGGGAGAAAGAACCAGAGCAGCAGCAGAGCAGCAAAGCAGCAGCAGCAGCAGCAGCAGCAATGATGGAGATTGATTCACTGACTGGCCGGCCGCTTCCCTTTCGCTGCTCCTCTTCCCGTATACCGCCCGTATCGCGTTCTGCCGGCTGTATCATTGCCGCGCCCCGTGGAGTCTCACCGCCTTGGCCTTCAACCAATCCATTATCCTCGGTGTCTCACTCAATTGAGGACAGCAGGTCTGTAGAAGGAACTTATCATAGTGTCAGGCTGATGTGAGGTAGATTCATTCAGATATACCACCAAAGCCTCATTTCACTGTGGTTGAGACCTCCATTGCGTTCTCAACAAGTGAACCGCTATCAGTCCCCACGTGACCGTTCCGGCGCCTATCGCCGAGACCCAAGAAAAAAAAAAGAGGAAAAAGTAAAAAAAGAGTAGGAAATATCAGAACAGAAACGCCAAGGCAGACAGTACGGAAGCTTGACAGTTATAAGCCTGTCAGCTTTTTCTTCTTACAATTTTCTTCATTCTTTGAAAGGGACCGGATCCCTAAACTTCTGACATTATGGGAAAGTCGGACAACTCTCTTCCTCTCTTGGGGGCAAAGACATCCATCGATCCTACCCTAGCTGCCTTGTTTGAGACAAGTGTGCGTACCACACATCTTATGCTTCTCGAGTATGTCTTGGACTAACATGGCCCCATTGGGCATATTTAGGCTGGCCCAGTAAAGGCTCCATCCGTCACAATCGCCGCTCCCGCTCCCCAATCAAGCAAGCGCAATGCCGACAATGACGAAGATGAGGATAACGAAGATGTGATCTCCGAACCGGAAGACGAATCTCTGCCTGAGGACGAGGAGATGCAGGAAGCCCCGGAAGCATCGAGCGATGCGGGCAGCGAAGAAGCTGAAGTAGCCGCCGAGGCGCCCAGCCGCAAACGCAAGAGGACCACTGCAGAAGATGTCGAAGACACATACATGCGTCGCATTGCAAAGGAGCAAAAGAAGGAGGATGAAAAGAGACGGGAAGAGAAGGCGAAGCGACAGAAGACGGTAGACGGTGAGCAGGAAGAGGATGCCGAGCAATCAGAGGAAGAAGACGATGATGAGGAGAGCTCTGAAGAGGATGAGGAAAAGAAGGCCGTCCCGAAGCACGAGAGCCAGACTGGTGATGCCGAGTCGAAGGAACTGGACAAATCCAACCGGACTGTTTTCTTGGGCAATGTCTCTAGTGAGGCGATCAAGTCCAAGTCCGCTAAAAAGACCCTCCTCAAACACCTGGCATCTTTCCTCTCTACGCTTCCGGAGTCTACTGGACCTCACAAGGTGGAATCTATTCGCTTCCGCTCCACAGCATTTGCCAGTGGTGGCGGAGTCCCCAAGCGAGCCTCATTTGCCAAGCAAGAAGTTCTGGATGATACGACGCCGTGCACCAACGCATATGCCGTATACAGCACTGTGCAAGCTGCGCGCAAGGCGCCCGCTGCGCTTAACGGTACCGTGGTTCTGGACCGGCATTTGCGTGTTGACAGTGTCGCGCATCCTTCCCCAATCGACCATAAACGGTGTGTCTTCGTTGGTAACCTGGACTTTGTCGACAACGAGGTCAAGCCCGACGATGAGCAGAAGAAGAAGAAGAAGCGAGCCCCCGCAGATGTTGAAGAAGGTCTTTGGCGGACCTTCAACGCTCACACCGGTCGTTCGAATAAGGACAAACCCAAGAATGGCAATGTTGAATCAGTCCGCGTGGTTCGCGACAGCCTTACTCGGGTCGGCAAAGGATTTGCCTACGTTCAGTTCTATGATCAAAACTGTGTAGAAGAGGCTCTTGTACTCAATGGAAAGCATTACCCGCCTATGCTCCCCCGCAAACTCCGCGTGTCGCGTGCCAAGAAGGTCTTGAAGAAGCGTGCAGACGGTGGCAGCCAGAAGAAGACGCTTGGTGTGGCAGATAAGACCCTGCAGGGTCGCGCTGGAAGACTATTTGGTCGGGCCGGTGCGGCCAAGGTGAAGGCCGATGCGCAGAAGTCCATCTCGCAGAACTCGACGGTGTTCGAAGGCCATCGCGCCACCGAAGGTTCGCACATTCGGGTCAAGACGAAGAGCCGTGGCTCCAAGGGCAAGCCGAACAACCGGAGCAGCAAGCGTGCTGCGGCCTACAAAGCCGCTGGTGGGTGGAAGAAGGGGAAGACGGATTAATGGGCTGGGACGTGAGCTTGCTGGCGTATTTTCATTTGTATTCTATTTCATGGGTGTATTTTGCATGTCGAAAAGCCAATTGATACGAGACTTGTTAAGTAGATATCCATCTGTTGCATGCCAATTCATCGGTTGTGAACTGTCTGTATTGTGCCTGTTCTGCTGTACGCGATGTGTAACTTTGGCCCTTTCAGGAACACGGCCATGACGTCACCTATCGATTGCGCCGCTTTTCTCCTGGCGACATCAATCAATGCTATCGCCCTTCACACATGTAGCGCTCTCTCTTTATAAGACGGCATGATTCATATTTCATTGAGTGATCGCTCCAGTCACATCATTGACAGACTTTTTGTTCCATATTTTATCATCGTGTGTGGATCCCACGGCACGTCTCCTCCCCCTCTATCATTCTGCCCGGAAGGCGGGGTGAGATCAAACGGTTACACTAAGTTGACCGACATCACTTGAGTCAGACTGGTGCCTGAGCTCAAACCAATCGAGATGAGCTTGTCTTGAGTGAGCAACCTCTTCATCGTGTAGCTGTCTGAATTTGGCCCGGTGGCTAATCTTGTCAAGGCAAACAATTAGATAAATACCGAACTACGACAAGATTCAAGTTGATCGTTTCGCAGGAGCCAACATTAAGTCTGTATCGGTGACAAAAACAAGGAGGCCCTACATTCTCTTCAAGTAGCTCACAGGCTACGAGCGTAATGATGTTGCCTCTAGTTAATCGGCTTCCACTCAGGCGACGACCAAACCGGCTCCCCCCGAACAACAATAACGACGATTCAAACACCCCGCCAGCCGAGGATACCCAAGATTCCTCCCCGGAAGATGACACTTTCTATCCCAGTTGTTTCGATGTTTTGAAGGTTCGGTATCTGCTGCAGCATATTTGGCAATGGACGAGGGGCTCGCAGGAGTTGCTACCAGTTGAAATTGTAGACATGATTGTGGATGCCGCCGAGTATTGGGCTTCTTCCGAGTCCGTCCTAAAAGGAGAGACTGTTATCCGGAAAGATCAGGATCAAATTATCTTAACGACGGTACCTCTGTGCTATGATGTGCAGGTAAGTTGGAGCTTTTGGCCTACTATGGCATTCTGCATACGTCTCACACTAGCCGGAGACTTTCTCATCGGGTTATTGCTGCTGACACCGTGCTCAAACCACTAGGCCTTGAATACCCCATCTCCAAAGCCGCTGCCCCATCGGACCACTCATCCATGCCGCCAAATCATCTTTACCATAGCATCCCATGATCAAGGCTGGGGTGGCGGTCCAGGGTCTCGCGGCCAATACGGGGGCTCTTATTCGTGGTTTGACACCGAAGTCATTCACTCAGCACATCAGAACAGAGCTGCAAACAATCAGCCTCCGCCACAGGGTCCCTTCCATTTTGGACCCGACCATCCTAACTTGCTGCCAACGGCCCGCAAGCTCCAGTCGAATAAGACGGCCGTGCCAGGTTCGCAAAAGCATACTATTGTTTGGCACTACCAGGATGACATCGCTCCGGACTCGAATGAAGCGGAGGAAATCGAACGTACTCAGGGGAGAGGACGAGCCACACTGGATGGAAGCCAAGTCCGTACTCTAGAGATTGGAGATGCGATTGCTGTCTGGGGTCGAGCACGGTTTGGCGGGTGGTCGAACCATGTGCAGCGAGTGTCAGTGCGGGTGTTTTGGGCGGTCTAATGCGGGGATCCTAAGTCAGCAGCATCTTTAGAGTGATAAGAGCTAGAAACGAATAAATCGCTCAATAGCAGTATTTATGTAGCTAGTCAACAGTTTGGGGGAATATTTACTAAGCAGCTATGATGCCTAACTAACTAAGTAACTATACTTCCTTATCGGCTATCGATAGAAATGGGTACTCCGTATACATGGCTAGTATAGATGGCAGCCTGCCAAATCAGGCCGGAGAGCATCACCTCATTCCTCAAGGCGATCACGCAATTGCGCCAAGACCACCCAATCCCGTCATCTGCGCGTTTGAATATAAGGTCGCTCTCTTCCTCCATCACCAGCAACGCTGGTTTTGTCTTCCCTCGATGAACCAAACTGGAAGAGACAGTCCTGTCAATTGGCCGAACAAGAGCTCAATGTTGCTCTCTGCTTGACAGCGACCTTCCCCCCGACTCCCCTTCGCCCTGCGGCCCTCCTTCATTCCCAGCCAAGACGACAGAATGTGACGGCCGACGGAAAGCGGCCCAGGATGTTCCAGGAGCGAATCCGAGTGGGGCTGGCCACATTGGATTGCGCAACAACCGGTCAGTCGTGCGAGAAGCGGTGATACACTGAGTGTGACCAGTGAGCAGTGCGGTTATCACCGCCTGACCGGTTGTGGCGGAGGCATGATGCATTATCTCGCCCGAGAGACTTCGTTTCTGCGCAGTTTTCCTGCGCTGTGACTCGATTTCGAACTGATTGACTGGCTGATCGGCTATCTGCCCATCTGCCTATCCTATCTAGGCCATCGGGGTACTCGGCTATCCCATTCTCAGCGGTCATTCATGGTGTTGTGTTCGTGGCTTCCCCTCTCCCGCCAAAACATGGCCTTGATTCTCGTTCGCCTGTTTCGCCGAGAATTACGCCGGCAATACGTCCCAGCTCCCCTGGCGTTTTGACTTCCATCCCCATAAATGCCTCTCCCGCCCTGTTGAGATCACGCTTCGATTGTCACAACCACCCTTTTTTCAGCCCTGTGAATTTGTGGTATTCTCGACTTTTTGCTTTTCTTTGCTCTACCCTATCTACATGAGCAATTTGAGGATGGCTCAACCCCAGAAATGTGCTGCTGTTGTTGTGGGAGCCGGTCCTGCCGGTCTGGCAGTTGTGGGAAATCTCCTGGAGAAGCAACTTGGAGGGAAAATTGCCTGGGTTGACCCGTTGTTCCAAGGTGGCCGGATAAACCAGAGATACCGCGAGGTTCCTAGGTGAGCAAGTCCCCGGTCTGGTTGCCGGAATGAGCTCCAAGCTGTCAGAAGAGGAACGCTCCTGCTGACTGGTTCTGTCGGCCCAATCAGCAATACCAAGGTGTGCTATTTTCAAGCGTACGCTACGGCCGTTCAACCTTTCCGCACCGTAATCGAGAACACTCGTATTCCCAACCCATTTACGACGATGGCCAAACTCGACCAGAATAAAACCTGTCATCTGCATCACGCTATTGATGTGGTTCGCGCTCTTACCGATGGCATCACAAAGATGGATCGGGTTCTGCCATGTCGGGGAGTTGTCACAGCTGCCAACCTGGCCGAGAAAGTCAGTTATAGAGCTCTGGGAGCCATTAAGCATCCTGCATCGCTAACATTTGATCGTCGACATAGACTGCTACTTGGACCGTTCGCATCCGGTTGCAGGACTCGCAGGATGAAGTCGAGGTGCTGACGCCTCGACTCGTCGTTTGTACAGGATCATCCCCCACCGAGGTCTCTATCTCAGTTCCTGGGCACCACATCGAAAGGCTGGACCTGGATGTAGTGCTGAAGCCCAGCGACCTGGTGTCGCATCTTCCCCGAGACAAGCCCTTGACCGTCGCCGTAGTAGGAGCGTCGCATAGCGCCATCCTAGCCCTCCTCAATCTGGTAGACTTGGCCCGCACTTCCCATCCCGAGCTCCGTATCAAGTGGTTCACTCGGCATTCTCTGCGGTATGCCGAATTCATGGACGGCTGGATCCTCCGAGACAACACCGGACTCAAAGGCTCTGCTGCCGACTTTGCCCGCCAGCAACTGGAGGATGACAAGCTGCCACATTCCGAGGCTGGCCGGTTCATCACCAAGGTCTACTGCGGCGACAACCAGGAGCAGGCACAGTATGAGCGGCATCTGCCCTCATGCTCGTACCTGGTCCAGGCCGTCGGCTTCACGCGGGACCCGCTGCCAGAGCTGTCTATCAACGGCTCCTCATTGGAGCCCGAATTCGACCCGGTTTCGGGAGGCTTCCGCGACTCCAACGGCCGCGTTGTCCGGGGTCTGTATGGGGCGGGGATTGCATTCCCGGAGCGGGTGGTCGATCCGTACGGCAACGTCGAGCATGCGGTCGGGTTCTTCAAGTTTATGAACTTTGTGAAGCGGGTATGTCCTCGGTGGATATCGTAGTGGCTGCATTCCCTAGAGGTTTATAGTGCATTGTATGTGTCACCGCTGGTCGGTCGATACGACGTGAACAAATATAATAATTTTGCAAACAAGAGCTCTATATCCCATGACTCCAATTCACCAGATGCTTATCCATCTCGTAAATGCGTATAGCCATCACACTCAGCAATAAGCATGGTGCTAGCAACCAAGTTGAAACAATATCAACACACAATATCCCTGCGACAAACACAAAGGCCATCTCCGAACAACGTGGCCATGCAACACACTATAATAGGATCCTGAATCCACTCTGTCTGATATAAGATTTTAACCACGACACTAGTACTGGTTCCACCAACCACTACATAAGCATCCTGTATCCAACACTGTGACTCACACAGACTACATCAACTCAATTGAACCATTCTCTACCCAAACAATTACCACACACACCCCTACCAAGTCATCTACATACACACACACACACACACAATAAACAACTTACCACCAAAATGTCCCCCAAAGAACCAACCTCAACCCTCTACGCCACCACCTTCCCCATCCTCACCAGCATCCTCAAAACCCTCCTCCACCTCCTCCGCACCGCCGAACGCACCCACTCCAACCCATCTTCCCTCCTGCTCAACTCCCGCCTCCATGCTACAATGTACCCCCTCACAGACCAAATCCGCATCGCGACAACCTTCTCCGTCCGTCTTTTCGCCCGTCTCACCAACCACCCGGAGGCAGACACTCTCCCCACAACCCTACTTCCAGAGGGTAACCCGCAAACCTTTGCGGAGTGCTACGAGCGCATTGACAAAGTGCTGGAGCTTCTGAAAGATGCGGATAATGATGCTACGAAGGAGGTGGTGAATGCCAATGCCGAGACGGTGAAGCCTGCGCCCATGGGGCCCGGGGTCGAGGTGGATGTTACGAATGCGTTGTATGCGCATACCATGGTCCTGCCGAATATTTATTTTCATTTGAATACTGCGTATGGGATTATTAGGATGGAGGGGGTGGAGATTGGGAAGAGGGATTTGTATGTTGGGTTTGGGGAGTTGTGGCGGTAGTTTCAATTTTGTGTGTGTGTGTGTGTGTGTGTGTGTGTGTGTGTGTGTGTGAGATGGTGGGTGTACTGTAGATTAAGTTGAGTTTGGGTGTTTGATCTACTACAGTTCGTAGTTGTGAATCTATGTGGACTTCTCCTCTCCTTCACTTTATAGAGTTTGGCTCATAGGGAGTAACGCAAAGCAAGTATTCAACTGCAGCTACTAAGTTCATATGGAAGGTATGTTTCATAGACCCCGGAATGATCTGCATACTACCATAGTATCTTCATACTGATCCAGAAAAATGAAAAAAGCAAAGGTACATCTTATTCAGTGCCCTCAACACAGCTCGTACACGTCCTTGATCATCTTCTCAACGTCGCCGTCTCCAACCAGCGTTGGTTCATCAAATACCCTGCAGAGTGGGTTATCTGCCTGCTGCACCTTGAGACCGTAGCTCTCTATGTACGTGACAAAATATTCCACTTCAGGGTGGTTATCCTGGAGTAGAGCTGAGACTTTCCACATGATGTGCAGGAAGACAGCCAGGGCAGCGTGATACTTGGCCGTTCTCTCAATGGGCGCAAAGTAATTACCTAGGCGTCGAAACTGATCAAGTGATGGAAGATGGTCACCCAACTGAGCCACAGAAATTGAGTAAGAAGATGAAAACAGTTCTACTAAAAGGTCAGTATGGGCTGCACTTGCCCGTCCAGGTGGTGATAGGAATGGCTCACCGAGTGTCGTTTTGAGGGCTAAGCCAGCCTCTTTGGGCCCATTCTCTCTGCGCAATGCTGAGTAATGTTCAGCTATCTGGTAGAGCAACCGTTTCCACACGTAGATCTCGATCATGTGAGGAGCTATGGCCTCCATCTGACTGGCGATGCGGACCAAAACGACGGATCCCTCAATAGGATAATGTAGGAAGTTTGAAAGCCAATTGTCTGTGCGAGAATGAGTGAACGCTGCTATAAAAAGCTTCTGCAACGTCATCAATCTACAATTAACGGCCGGCATCGATTCTGGAGGCGGTAGGAGACCGGCCTTCATAGGCTCGCCAGGAAGGCTGCTAATTTCTCTGCAGCACCACTCAAGGCACTCCATCAGGGTAGAGGAGGTCTCCTTCTCTTTGGATATGTCTTCCATCTTAAAGCAAACAGAAGATAGAAAGGCATAGAGAATGATGCCCTCATGAAAGCGGCGTTCATATACTCGGTTAAGGGTTCGAACCCATTGCCGTCGATTTACATCCGTGGCGAGAGAGACCAGCGGCAGCGCAGCATCAACACGCTGACCATTGGGCAGTTCTCTAACCTGGAGCAGTAACCAAGCGCAAGCATCACATGCTGACAGAGGCAAAATAACATCAGTCTCGGGGTAGCTACCCAAGACCATTGGATAGCGGTGTGCGGCACAGCTATTGGCCTGTGGAACATGGTGTGTGCCATTGTAGTCGCGTGGGGTCTGGAGGAGAAGACACTGTATTGCCCGATCAGTCCCACATATAGGACACTTTTGGTAGTTCTGGGGAGCTGCACATCCTGCAGCGACGTTTCTGCTGTCTTTATATCCTGGTAAAAACAGGCATTCGCAGTCTATCGGTTCATCATATGGAGACCCGGAAACCTTTGCAAGTGGGCTGGATCTCTGTTGAAACGAAAGCGCGGCTCCAATAGATCGCATATCTGCTGCATTTGGCGAGCTCATTGGAGTTAGATCGCTTGGGGACATTGAAGACTGGCGTAGAGTTAATCCGCTTAATCTTTCCAAGACATCCTCAAGGGTCCTCTTCAACCGGGAAGAATAATCACGAGCTGCTCTGACATTCTTTTCCAAATGCTCCCAATTCCGTCGATGCTGGTTACGGAGTTCTGACTTGATGAACTCAGCAGTTGAGGACTTATTTGAATTTAGAAACGCTTGCCACAGAGACCGTGGGAGTGATCCGTCTCCGCCCAAAAAAGTCAGAAGGGTGAGGAGTACAATTTTTGCTTCACCATCTAAGTCTTCACGTGGTTCAAGCAGGATCTTCTTCATCGGATTTATTGTCCGACGGGAGTTCAAAATCCACTTTTGAATTTTGTCATGTTGACCCCTTGTCTCCGCGGCCAGAATGACCACATCTAACGCGGCGTAGTCCGATAGCAGGTTAAGTGTGTCAGTTTCGGATATGGAGCCAGTATGAATACTATTCAAGTCAAAATGGACGCCGTTTGGGAGTATGACTATATCCCGGGATAATTTGGTGGGTCTTGGGACCTTGACCCTTTTGAGATCGTCGTACCTGATCGTCACCAGGTCCGCCCATTTCGTCCCCTCCCCAAACGGCACAAACCGCTTCTCTGCCGGGAGTATATCCAAGAAACTTCCCTTAGCTTGTAGCACGAATATCATGCCAGTTATCACATCCGAGAAGAGAAAGATGCAATGTGGCGCCACGGCAAACACCGACATGCCAACCGAGATATTGCAGCGGAAAGGTGAGCTTTGCGGATATCCAAACAGAATAATTACGCAGGCTTTGCCGTGAATACCGGCAGCGGAGATGGCATGGGCAAACTTCTGAACTCGTGGCTCGAGGATGTGGCCGTCCGTCAAGAGAAACCATAGGCTAGCGTCTTGGAGTGTAGACATACAAGCGGGGTTGTTCAGCAAAGCCCCAGGATCGGTTTGGCCATCGGAACTGAGATCCTCGACGTCTGCTATACGCATCGGCGGGAAGGCCATGTGGCACCAAGGAAGAATACTTGACTGTGACACCAACTCCTGCGGCATGGAATCTCCACAGATTTCCCGAATAGCATCTTGCTCTTGCCGAAGGATCGGTCCCAGTGTGCTCCCCGAAACGTCTATCGCGAACGTAAGAGGAAGCTGCCGTAGAGGCAGCTCAAGTTCGTCCTGACTGTTGAGTGCCGATGCAGCAGTCATGTTGATTCGCGGTCGCAGAGGAAGCTCAACTTGGTCCTGGGGGTTGGATGCCCGTGCAACCATGGTATTTCGCAGTCTCAGAGCCAACTCAACTTGGTCCTGATAATCAGGTGCCGGTGCAGACATGGTGAAATTGGGTTGGTAAATAAACTGGAGAATGGGTTGCGTTGGAAGATCAAGTGGGCAGTCGGCGGTCTTTATATGGATCCGTAGGTATGCTCGCTGACTCAATCGAAGAACCATTGAATTGCCACCTATGCTAGAATTTGATTCTGTTAATAGAGGTAGACCAGTTTTCACTCGTTGAGTCTCGGCGCAAATCACTGGGTGTAACGAGTCAGGAAAGCGTGTGCTCAGGAGCCAGAGAAGAACGCCTAGTGTCTTTCAAAACACCTTGTAATGCTACCGATCTGCAGAAGTCTGCGTGCGTGCGTGTGTGCGCGAGTGCGTGAGTGAGTGAGTGATTCCAAGTGCGACACAGGTCTTCTGAGTATTCAGGAAGATGCCTTTTGCAGTATTTATTCTGTGCAATCAACACATCTCAGTGTTTGACAGAAGAAGCTAAACAGGTGTTGATTAGCAGGCAGGGTGCGTGAGGCTACAGTAGGACAAGCACCCCACCCCCACTCCCTAGGTAACAAGCAGCTGATGTATAGACAGCTACAGTGCGTGAAACAGCCTGTAGAGCTGGACAAAACAATATATAGACTGCACGAGTCGATTTCTGGACTAGGATCATTGAGCGAATTTGTTCTCACGCGGAAGATGTCCAGAACAAAAGAGACCGGTATACATGTCCGAACGCTCTAAGCCCAGTCAGGTTCCTTCACAGAGCTCCTACAGTCTTTGACACATGTAGGTGCACCTGAAGAGGTGCATGGAATCCCGATCCAAGAGTTTTCGCCTAGTCTCTAACCATAATATATAGCAATTAGCTCAGCATGTCCACTGACATCATAGCAGGGCATTTAATGAAGTCACAATCATGGTTTATAACGTTGAGACGCATAGTTGACTATTGGTCTGATTGGCACTTCAGCAACTGGAAAGCTCCCTGTTGAACGTACTATGCAAACATCATCAGTGATATATACCAATACATGTTATTATTGTTAGCTCTCACCTTCATCCCAGGGCCCGATATAAATTTTGCTGGCACACTCAGCCCTTCATTATACCGAATTTCTGTACTCGAGATCCAGTTATACAGCTATTATAACGATGTCCAACGTCGGGACTTGTAGGATC